AAGAATCAAAGCCTCGAGATAGGGAGATGTGTTGTTGTCGAGATAGTGCCAAACCCACGTGAGAGTGCCGTGCGTCTCGCGCCCCGAGCGAGAGCGAAAGCGCCGCGGCGTGCTCAACCGCGGCCTACGGACGGAAAATCCACTCATCACATCCTCAGCGCGAGGAGGCCTGCCCGCCCCGGCAGCAGCGTGCGCCTGCAGCAGCGTGCGGCGAGCCGTGTGGGCGGGTGCGAGGGCGCGCGTGCTTCGGGGTCGTCGCATTCTGCGACGCGCTTAGGCGCTGGCGTTGGCCCGCATTCCTGTGGGGCACGCCCGCCGGCGCCGCGGGCATCCCGAACCCGCTCACCGCGAGGAGTAGCAGCGCCGCGACGGCGGCCGCCTGGACGAGCCGCGCCGGAGATCTCTTCGCGGCCGAGGCGGCGCCCTCCCCGCCTGCAGCCTCGAGCTCGCTGCGGGCGCTGGCGTACCACACGCCGCCCGAGAGGGCGACCACGCAGCCGAGCACAGCCTGCCACGAGCGCGACTCGCCGAGGACAAAGATGCCGAAGGCGACGACGGCAAACTTGTTGCTGTTTGCGAGCACCATCAGCGTGGAGGCGGAGACGAACTTTTGGAGGTGGATGGCGGCGTAGCTGATGGCGACGCCGTTGATGCAGCTGAGGAGGAGCAGCGCCCACTGCCTCGCGTCAAAGGCTGCGATCTCGTGCACGTGACCAAGCTCGCCGAAGCGCGTCGGCGAGAGGGCAAGCGGGACGAGCAGCAGTGCGCCCACGCCGTTGTTGATCATCATCATGCCCTGCCCGGGCGAGATGGAGTCAGCGGTGAACGAGCCTAACCTCTACCTCCACCCGTATCCCTCACCTGCTTGGAGACGTCGATCGGGTCGAGTGCGATGAGGGTGCGCTGGACGAGGCGCTCGAGCACGGCGGCGCACAGGTTGATGCCCATGAAGAGGAAGCCGAGAGGCGACGAGTGCAGGTCGTTCCGTGCGTAGAGGATCACGCCGGCGAGAGAGAGGGCCATCGCGAGCATTGTTTGCAGGTCGATCTTTAGCGAGCGGTCAATAAACGCCTCGGAGAGAAGAGCAGGCACGGGTGCAAGGTTTCGCACGACGATAAACGCGCCCATGGTGGCGTGATCAAGCGCGAGCATCGACGTCGAGAGCATCAAGGCAAAGAGGGGCGGCACGGCGCGGGTCCAGCGCCACACGTCTCGTGCCGACCCAAAGCGAATCGCCCTGCGCATGCCCGGCACGACGACGATCGTCACGACGGTGAAGAGCATCTGGATGATGACGATGGTGATGGGCAGGTGGGAGCCTCGCATCACGAGCTTATTGACGATCATCATTCCCGCGCTCGCCGCCATGAAGGCCACGACTGCGGAGAGGACCTCGAACCGACGAACCATCGAGGCGGGCAGAGCGGCGACGGTCGAGGCGCTCTCCTCTCCGCCCTTCTCGCCCTTCTCGGGGACGAGCCTCTCCATCGCGTCGGCGCTCGGCGGGCAACCGATAAAGAATTTTCTCGCACAACACTGGGCATGAAGGTTGCAGCGAGAGTCGGAGAGAGACTGCGAAGAGAGATAGGAAGAGGCAGACTCCCTAGGGTGGGCGACGGCTAGCGCACCACACACCTCTCCTTAAAATCCCTGTGTGGTGGCGGCGTGCCGTCCTCCCATCCCTCCCTTGGGTTGTCTGTTTTCTTTCTTTTTTCTGGGCACGGGACTGGCGCGCACTGGCACTAACACAGGTACACCACGGGAGCCGCCTAAGCGACTCCTGCGAGGGTGGCGAGGCACTTAGCTCCGTGCACCCGCCCACCCCCGCCACAGGCAAGCTCATTCACGTATCACGACCGATAAAGAATTTTACAACAAAACTCCCTCGCACAACACTGGGCACGGGACCGATAAAGAATTTTCAGCGCGGCCCCGACCTGGCGCGCACTGGCACTAACACAGGTACACCGATACAGAATTTTAGTACAATGCGACGCCGCCGCCGCCTGCCGATCCCTAGCTCTCGTGGCTTCTCCCGCCTTTCGGCGCAACTACTCTGCCCTCCTCGCGGCAATAAATAAATAAATAGCGCAGTCATCTCCAGGGAGAGAGAGAGATTTTTAGCAATACCAGTTTGTTCTCCAGGGAGAGATGGGCGACGCACACGAACACAGAGGGACAGTGCGCACCCCGCCCCGCTCGCAGGGCGTGCAGCACACAGCAACACAAGACATATCTAGATTCTAGTCGCTGTGCGCCTCCTCGGGATTTCTGGGGAGGTAGGAGTGTGTGTATGTGTGTGTGTGTGTGCAGAAAGAAAGAAAAAGAAAACAGACAAGTGACAACCCAAGGGAGGGATGGGAGGACGGCACGCCGCCACCACACAGGGATTTTTCTGAGGGAGGGTGTAGAGGATGTAGAGTGTAGAGCACTGTAGAGCTGTAGAGATGTAGAGCGCTGTAGAGCTGTAGAGCTCTACATCCGCCGCGTGACGAGGCGCCTGCGTTGTAGAGCGATGTAGAGGCGCTCTACAACGTGAAATCTCTACAACAAACTCTACATCATAAGCGGCGAACGAGGCACGGTCGCTCTCCGACATGAGGCGCGTTGCACTTGCCAGTGCTGCCCTGGCCTTCTGTCTGCCCGCCCAATGGGTGGCAGATGCCTCTGCTGCTGTGGCATGCCTCACGGCTGCGACTGGCCGGCGCCTCGGCGCGTCAGCTCGGCTCGGCGTAGCGATCGTGGCCAGCGCAACTCGCCTGGACTCAACGCTCAGCCAGGAGCTCCCGCACGCGCTGGCGCGAGTCATGGCGCAGATAAGGCGTCTGAATGCTCGCCTCGCCTCGCGCAAATGCGACCGTCCTCGCAGCCGACAGTCCACCGCCTGCTAAAGAAGCACAGCGACGAATGCGGCACCGGCGACACATGGCAGGCTGGTCATGACGCAGTTATAGGGTGTTGTGTGCCGTCAGAGGGACTCTCTGTGTGTCAGGGATAGTCAGGGCTGTCCATCAGAGCTTCACTAAGCTCGGTAAAACCCCATTAGCGCGGCTCGACCTCTTTGAGTCACTGCCTTCCCGGCGGTTTGGCTGTAGAGCCTCTACAACAAACTCTACAACAAAATCGCGCTCTACATCGCTCTACAACGCAGGCGCCTCGTCACGCGGCGGATGTAGAGCTCTACAGCTCTACAGCGCTCCAGAGCGCTCTACATCTCTACAGCTCTACAGCGCTCTACACTCTACATCCTCTACACCCTCCCTCAGGGATTTTTAAGGAGAGGAGTGTGGTGCTACTGCTAGCCGTCGCCCACCCTCGGGCGTCTACCACTTCCTATCTCTCTTCGCAGTTTCTCACCAATTCTCGCAGCGACCTTCATGCCACCTCTCGTTCTTCTCACTCTCGTCGCTCCTCGTTCTCTCCCCTGCTGTTTCATCCTCTGACTCATCGCTCTCCTCGGCCTCGTTCTGAGACGCCGCTGCCGTCTGCCTTGCTCTCGCTGCTTCTCTCGCCGCTCTGCGTAACTCCGCCCTCCTCGCGGCATAATTTGGCCCCTCGAGTTTATCGAGCTCCCCTGTGTGTGCATATGTCGTCGTGCGAGTGCGTGTCGTAAAATTCTTTACGGTCGCCTCCGACACACTAATCACTATATACGTCAGCATGCTTGGCGTAAAATGCATATAAGTAGACTCGGGACGCGGACTTTTCAAAAGAGAACCCCACCGACCGCACACCCGAAAGAGGTAAAGACGAGAGAAAACGTGCTCGGCTTCACTTAAAGCCGTACTCAGACTCAGAGTCGGAGTGGATCACGCGCCTGCGCTTCCCCCCCCACAGGCGTTGCGTGCGCGGCTCCTCCTCCTCCCCCTCCCCCTCCCCCTCCCCCTCCCCCTCCCCCTCCCCCTCCTCCTCCTCCTCGGACTCCTCCTCGGACTCCTCCTCGGACTCCACCTCGGACTCCACCTCGGACTCCTCCTCGGACTCCTGTCTGTCCGTCTCCTGGGAGGAGTCGGGCGTAATGAATTCGCGCAAACTCCCCTGACTCTCCTGCTGCTCCTCCCCCTCCTCCTCCCCACTGCTGTCGCCCGCGCGGTTCTTGGCGATCCGCCGCTCACACCGCGCAACATAGCCTGACTGGTCGCCCGACCAAGTGCATCTCGTGCAGCGCGGCAATCCCCGCAAGCCGTAGTTGCCCCTTTTCATCTCAGATGAGAAGCCATCCCGGTCCCTCCAGGCAGCGCCCCTCTCCAGGCAGCGCCCCAAGCAGCACATCTTCGTTCCGTCGCCAGGGCCCGGGAGCGGCGGCGGCGGCACGCCGTCGCCCGCAACCGGCGCGCCGGTGCCATCGACAGCAAACAGGTAGTGAGGCACCCCCTCCTCGGCGCAAGCGTGGCAGAACGCCCAACATTGCCGCAACGCCGGCAGCCTCTCCCCCATCAAATCGCACGGGAAGCCTCCCTCCGCCATCAGGGTTCCACGTCCGTGGTATCGCCGCCAGCCGCAGCTCTCCTTTAGCCTGTGCTCCAGGCTGAGCGTGGCTCGCCACCGACTCTCGGCCGAGTCGCCGCACCCTGCTGTCTTCCAGAAACGCGCGAGCCGCCAGCGGCCGGCGCAGTTTTCCCGCGTGTATTTGGCTCCGCGCCCACCGTTGTGTTCGCGCACGCGCGCTTCGACGTCCGTCGTCGCTCCAATATATGAGTGACGCCGGCAATCGCTGATAAGGAGGTAAGTACCTTCCCCAAAAGGCTCGTCGCCGGTGAGATCGATGCTTGAGGCGGCAGACATCGTGCGAAGTTGTGTTCGCGCGAGCTGTTGGAGACCCCCCTGACGCGAGTTGGACAGCAAAAAGTTTTCTTTTTTTGCGTTCTCTCTCTGCCCGCAAGCCGCAAGAGCTCCCCGTTTGTGCCGCGTCCTGTGCCCCCGAGTTCATTTTATAGAGCTTCCTGAGGTTCGCTGCACGTTTTTCTTTCTTCGCGTCCCAAGCACATACTCTCGTCTCCGGCCGGCCGATCGAACGCCTTCGGCGGCCGCCCGCGTGAGCTCCGGTCTAGGCTGAACTGCTCGGACCCACCCGTGGTTGGCTGCCCGGTAGGCGGCGCCGCCATGCAGCCGCCTCCGACCCCGCACGGCAGCGCGCGCCAGCTCACGTGGCTCGTGACGCCAGCGCTCGTCTCTGTCGTCGGTGTGCAAGACACTCCCGATGCGCTTGCAACTGAGCGCCACGCACACCTCTGGTAGCGTCTCTTCCACCCGCCGCTCCGCCGTGGTTCATCTCTGCCCCCGCCCCCCCCTCGCACCTCCGCGCCGACGGGACGCACAGCCGACCGACGCGTCTGCGCCGCCCGGTTCGCTCGCGCACAGGGCACGTCATATTTGCGCTGCTCCTCACCCTCAAGTGGAAGGCGTTTGAGGAGCGCTACGCGGGTGCGCCATCGCACGCCCTCTCTCGCCTCTTCCCCTTGCTCTCTCAACACACACTCGGACACAGTCACTCGCGCCGCCGCCGTCAATTGCCGCGAAGAATCGCAAGCACGCAGCGTGGCACGCGACACCAGGCAGTGAGCCCCGTGATTGAGCGTCGGCCACATGCAACGGCGGTAGGGGGGAGGGGGGGGGAGGGATTCGTGGGACAGGGGCTTGTGATCGAGGGACTGCCGCCACATGCAAGTCTGAGAGGGGACCGGGGTTGTGCAGCTGGCACCACACCCACCCTCACAAGACTCTCTCGCCATCGCTCCCTCCCTCCCCCCCCTCTCCCCCGCCCCTCCCCTTCTGTCGGAGCAGGCGGCTCGCACCGCAACACACGGCTCGGCCACTGGAACGCGCTCACGCAGACCGTGCTCTCGATCATCTTCAAGATCAACTTGCTCCTCCGCCTCGAGTCGGGGAGAGGCGTGTGGCGCTAGAGGAGACGCCGCTCCTTGCACTCCTACCAGCGCTCGAGAGGACACGTCCTCCGCCCTCTCCCGCGGTAGTCAAGTGTATTCGCAGCCCTCGCATCCTCTAAAGACGGCTCTGCACGATACCGTCCTCCCGCCTCGATGTCGGTGTCTTCAGCACGTAGGCTCGTGACGCTCGGCGCTCCATATCTCCCCACATCTCCCCACATCTCCCCATATCTCCCCATATCTCCCCACATCTCCCCATATCTCCCCCGTAGGCTCGTGGTGCCGCGCGTTCTGGCCAGTCTACGCCGGCGCCGGGCTGCAGGCCATGTCCCACATCGCAATGGAGCCATCTCTCCCCATCTCTCCCCATCTCTCCCCATCTCTCCCCATCTCTCCCCATCTCTCCCCATCTCTCCCCATCTCTCCCCATCTCTCCCCATCTCTCCTCATCTCTCCCCATCTCTCCCCATCTCTCCCCATCTCTCCCCATCTCTCCCCATCTCTCCCCATCTCTCCCCATCTCTCCCCATCTCTCCCCATCTCTCCCCATCTCTCCCACGCAGGCCATGTTCCACTTTGCGAAGGAGCCCGACGTCCGCAACCGGCGCCCCGGCTTCCCCTTCTCCGCGCTGCATGTGCTCTGGATGGTTGTCTCCTTCAAGCTGGACGGCGCGTACAACTAGAAGCGGAACACGCGTTCATGTCTCCCAACCAGCGCTCGAGAGGACACGGATTCAGCCTTATTAGACCGTATTCCGCTGTATTCACTGTACTCTTCTCCGTTGTACTCACGCGGTGCTCTGAACACCCAGCACACTGCCGTCCTCCCGCCCCGAGGTTGGCGTATTCAGCACGTAGGCGCGTACAACTACGACCGCGTCACGTGGGCGTCGCTCTTCTGGCCCGTCTACCTCTTCGGTGCGCTGCTCGGCTTCACGCTGTGCTTCGCCGCCTGCTGCGGGCTGCCGATGCTGCTGCGCCGCTGCGTGGTCACGCCGCTGGCGGCGCTGCTCCTCTTCCTCTTCTCGCTGACCGTCGCGCTGTTTGTGCCCGCCCTCACTTTCCTGGTGCGGCTGACGGCGTGGCTGGACGGCGACCGGCTGATCTCCGCGGAGGCGATTATGCTGCCCTACATCACCGCCCTGCTGCTGCTGCTCACCGTGATGACCGGCGCCGTCTTCTTCATGGCCGTCTCCCTCTCCCGCCGCGCCGTCCGCGCCGCCACCGACGCTGATGTGGAGGCGGACGACGAGCCGCCGCTCGAGGACCTCTTTTCTCGGAGCTCTCCACGAAGCTTCTCGGAACCTTCTCCTAGGCGGACGACGAGCCGCCGCTCGAGGACCTCCCTTGGATGTTCGTCCGCGAGTCGTCGACGCTCTTCCGCGTCGTGCAGGGGCCGCTCGAGCGCCAGTTCGCACCGCCGGAGCACTCGGCCTGCTTGGTCGCGCCGTGCGAGCAGCGGTCGCAGGAGGTGCGCGCCGGGGAGAGGGGGAGAGGGAGAGAGGGAGAGAGGGGGGGGGAGATGCCGTGCGAGCAGCGGTCGCAGGAGGTGCGCGCCGGGGAGAGGGGGAGAGAGGGGGGAGGGGGGAGATTGCCAGCGCTCGCAAGAGGCGTTCAGGCGCGAGGGGGAGGGAGCGATCACCCGAGATCACCCGAGATCACCCGAGATCGCTTGAGATCACCCGAGATCGCCCGAGGTCAGGCGTGCGCCGACGACGACGACGAAGCCGAGCTCGGTCGAGCTGCTCCCCGCTGCGCGCCGTCGCCGCCGCCGCCGCCGGATCCGCCCCTACCTGCAGCGCCGCTCTCCGCGGAGTCGGCGGATGCGGCGGCAGCCGCGACTGCCTCGGCCATGCCCGCCTCCGCCGCCTCCGCCTCCGCCTCCGCCTCCGCCTCCGCCTCCGCGCCGCTGCTCTCCGCTTCGTGCGGCGAGCTCTCGAACGAGGTTGCAATCTCGTCGGGCCAGATTGCAATCTCGATCGACGACCAGCCGCTCTCGGCGCGAGGCGCGGACGCGGCGCTGTTCGGAGGCGCTCCCCTCCTCGGCGGAGGCGGCGCGGGCAGCGGCGGCGGGGGGGCGGTGGCGTTAAGCGAGTCGAGGAGCGAGGCGGGGTCTGCGGATGGCGGCTCCGGCTCCGGCTCCGAGACGGGGGGCGACCACTGCTGGATCTGTTTCACGGGGCCGCGCGAGGCGGTGCTGCTGCACTGCGGGCACGGAGGCATCTGCTACGCGTGCGCCGAGCGGTGCTGGAAGCTGCGGCCGCGCGTCTGCCCGCTCTGCCGCGAGAGAGTCGCCGGCATCGCGCGGGTTGCGCCAAACCCCGCGCACCCGAAGCTGTACGTCACGCAGAGGTGACGGTACGCCACGCAGAGGTGGCGGTACGCCACGCAGAGGTGTCGGTACGTCACGCAGAGGTGACGTCTCCGGGCGGCGGTCTTGGGGAGGCGACACTCGGTGCCGGCCGCTGCGACCCCCTCGACCTCTACTCTTGCACTTTGCGCGCGCGCGCGCTCTCTCTACGTTTGCCGCGGGTGGCGGCGAGCGCTTTTGCCCCGCCCTGTCTCCGGCCGCCACGGCCGCCATGTCCGCGGCGTGTCTCCTCTTTGGCATCGCTCTTCTGGTGCTCCCCTTCCCTGAACCCCCCCTCCTTTTGTGGCTGTGTGCTGGCTTGTGCTATCTCGCGCCGCTGCAGGCGCCGGCTGTCGGTTGGAGGCGGCGGGGCGAGTTGCTACGGCAGAAACGCCGAGGCGATCCCCCGCCGCCATCGCGTGCCCGCTGTCAGTGTCCCCCTATCCAGACGTACCGGCTACCGCGCAATGTGCGACCATTGCGCGCGTCGAGGGCCGGCGTGGCGCGTAAATACCTTTTCTAATAAGACGGTGTAAGCTAAAGAGCCACATACACTGAGAGAGACGCAGCAAAACTGGTCCCAGGTTTTTGGGCTTCGGTTTCGTCGCACAGCATAGGTTTCATTTTCATAGTCGGCCGTCCTAGGACGTACGTCATTTCCGGTCTCGATTTCGGTTCTCGTGTGTATCTCCGCGCAATGGGAGTTAGCGCGCTCGCTCGCAGAGCGGCGCCTGCTAGCCGAGCGCGAGTGCCTGGGTCGCTGAGCTCGCGCCGGTGGCCAACTGCGCCTCCGTGGCGACGCGCTCCGGCCACGAGCGACGTGCCAATCTGCACTTTGAGCTCGCTGGGCAGCCGCCGAGTGCGAGAGGAATTTAAACGGCCGAGCCGGCCAGGCAGCCAGGCGACTTCCCGCACCGGTCCGCGCACGTGCGGCCGCGCGTGTACGGGGCGTACACGCGCGGCCGCACATGCTCCGCCTCGACGGCCGCCTCGCGCTCGTTCGAGGTCTGCTCCGCCCGAGCAGCGAGCTCTCAGGTGCGGGCTCTCGGGGCGCCGACCAGCTGGTAGGGAGGAAGGTCGAGCGCGACGCCGCGGAGCCAGGGCAGCGCGGCCGGGGCTGGGACCGTGAGCGGCGATCGCGCTCCGAGTCGCCCAGCGACGGCAAGGCAGGACGACGCGCGACGGCCGTTGAGCGGAGGGCTGGCGAGCAAAAAGAGGCGCCTCCGGGCGCAAACTTCAGAGGGACTCTTATGAGTCATGCTCTGCGACGAAACCAATTCGTGCTATGAGTTTTCACGATCAGTTTGGGTATACCCCCGAGCCCAAAAACCTGGGGCCAGTTTTGCTGCGAGATCCTCGATCGCCGTGCAAAGCTCGCTTCCGAGCTCTCACGCCGGGCGCGTAGGGCCCTTAGGGGCCTAGAGAACACAACCCCCTCTCTCTTTTCTCCCAGTAAGCTAAAAGTACGTACACTGAAAAAGTCTGGGTGGAAAACCCGCCCAAAACCCGCCCCAAAACTACCAAATCGCTGTCACGGCCATGTATTGGCGCACGCATCTCGCTCGACGCCAAGAGTGCAGGCATGTCCCATGGGAGCGAGGAGCGTCGCTGGCGTGATGAGCAATGGCGCGCCGAGTGCGGACGCGAAGAGTGGCGATGGCAGGGCGAACCGCGACGTCGGTCGCGATCACGCGATGAGCCGCGGCGGGATGAGCTGCGGTGGCGCGACGAGCGTTGGCAAGGCGAGCAATGGCCGCATCATGACGGGCGGCATGACGAGCGGGGCGGCTACAACGAGTCTTGGTGCAGTGGTCGCGAGCAGCGAAGGCACGCTGAGCCGCAATTGCCCGCTGAGCGATGGCACGACGAGCCATTGCGCGGCGAGCAATGGCCGCACCATGACGGGCGGCATGACGAGCGGCGCGGCTACAACGATTCTTGGTGCAGTGGTCGCGAGCAGCGAAGGCACGATGAGCCGCAATTGCCCGCTGAGCGATGGCACGACGAGCCATTGCGCGGCGAGCAATGGCCGCACCATGACGGGCGGCATGACGAGCGGCGCGGCTACAACGACTCTTGGTCCAGTGGCCGCGAGCAGCGATGGCACGATGAGCCGCAATGGCCCAATGGGCGATGGCGCGACGAGCCATGGCGAGGCGAGCAACGGCTGCATCATGACGGGCGGCAACACGAGCGGCGGGGCTGCGACGATTGGGGCAGAGGCGAGCGCGACTGGCACGATCGGCGCGATGACCGGCGCGATGACCGACGCGGCGAGGGGCAGCCTCAGCACAGCGGTCGCCGGGAGCGACCGCCGATGCACGGAGCGCAAGGACGCGACGCACGAATGTGCAATGATCGCCCCTTCTCTTTCCGCTGCGCTAACAGTGATCAGGTCGACCCTCGGAAGCTGACCTCTTTGATAAGCCAGGCTGGCAGCGCTGACGCATTGCTCACGCTCTCTGCTGCGCACAGCACGAGCTTGAACCACATCCACGCTGCGAACCTGTGGAACAAACTAGGCAAGCAGCGCGTCGAGCGGCGGCACGAGGGGCAGCTTGAGCAGCTGGTGCAGCGCACGCTCGACCTCGTCTCTTCGTGCGATGCGCGAGCACTGGCGAACGTCGCTCACGGTGCGGCAAAGTGCCGGCTGCAAATAGGGGTGGTGCGTTCACTGTACGCGGCGGTGGCGGAGGAGGCGGTGCGCGGCGGGTTGGCGGGGTTCAACCCGCAGGCACTGGCCAACACGGTGTGGGCGTACGCGACGGCGGGCGTTGCTGCGGACGCGCTATACGCGGCGGTGGCGGAGGCGGCGATGCGCAGCGGGTTGGATCGCTTCACGCCTCAAGCCCTTGCCAACACGGTGTGGGCGTACGCAACGGCGGGCGTGGCTGCGGACGCGCTGTACGCGGCGGTGGCGGAGGCGGCGGTGCGCAGCGGGTTGACTGGCTTCACCCCTCAGAACCTGGCCAACACGGTGTGGGCGTACGCGACGGCGGGCGTTGCTGCGGACGCGCTGTACACGGCGGTGGCGGAGGAGGCGGTGCGGAGCGGGCTGGATCGCTTCAAGCCGCAGGAGCTGGCCAACACGGTGTGGGCGTACGCGACGGCGGGCGTGGCTGCGGACGCGCTGTACGCGGCGGTGGCGGAGGCGGCGGTGCGCAGCGGGTTGGCTGGCTTCAAGCCGCAGGAGCTGGCCAACACGGTGTGGGCGTACGCGACAGCGGGCGTGGCTGCGGACGCGCTGTACGCGGCGGTGGCGGAGGCGGCGGTGCGCGGCGGGCTGGCTGGCTTCAACCCTCAGGACCTAGCCAACACGGTGTGGGCGTACGCGACGGCGGGCGTGGCTGCGGACGCGCTGTACGCGGCGGTGGCGAAGGCGGCGGTGCGCGGCGGGCTGGCTGGCTTCAACCCTCAGGACCTAGCCAACACGGTGTGGGCGTACGCGACGGTGGGCGTGGCTGCGGACGCGCTGTACGCGGCGGTGGCGAAGGCGGCGGTGCGCGGCGGGCTGTCTGGCTTCAATTCGCAGGCCCTGTCCAACACGGTGTGGGCGTACGCAGCGGCAGACCATTATCACCAGGCGCTGCTTGCCGACTGCTCGCACGTGATCAGCGACTCGCTCGCGCGGGATCCGTCAAGGTGGAGCGTCGGCAACCGCTCTCAGCTTCACCAGTGGCAGCTCTGGCTTTCTCTGGAACGTGGGGCAGACGGGCAGCAGCATCTTCTCTCCGCCTCTGAGCGCCAGCTTTGCCGCGAGGCCATGGTGGCGACCATAGCTCAGCCATCAGGCTTGCAGCGTTCGGTTGCGGATGCCCTCGCCGCCGTCCGCTCCGGCTTCGAGGAGGAGCATCTCGAGCCGCGCACCGGCTACTCGCTCGACCTGGCGCTGCCCTCGTCACGCATCGCGGTCGAGGTGGACGGCCCCTCTCACTTCCTGCTGCCCGGCGGCCTGGGCGTGCGCAGACCCAATGGGCCAACGCTGCTCAAGCGGTGCCTCCTCGCGGCGGCTGGCTGGAGGGTGATCAGCGTTCCATTCTACGAGTGGGACGGCTTCGCGACGGCCAAGGAGCGGCAAACCTACCTGCAGGGGCTGTTAGGCTAGAGTACTGATGGTTTGTCCGGCGGGTTGGCGGGCGGCTCCGTGGTTTACCCGCTGTGTTTAGTCGGCCAGTGCGCGCCCCAGCCCCTTGCCCGTCTACAAGGGGGCGTACCAGAATGACACCGAAAACATCTTCGAGCCTAAGGTAGAAGGTTAAGATTAGTTTTGACGTGGTTCCGATTAAAATGAAGACGGAGAAGAGTTCCCCGGTGTGTGATGTGTGAAAGCTGAACCGCGCCCGGTGGCCCGGGGGGGGGCGAGAGTCAGTCAGTGTAACTGTAAGCAAACTCTCTGTGAATCTGTGATGAAGGGAAACACGAGCGCGAGTCAGAGCGACGCCGGCGACAGCGATGTCGTAGGATAGAGAGAGCTAAAGAGATCAGAGAGAGGGGTGGGAGGGTGGGAGCAGGGAGGGAGCGAGAGAGAGAGGGAGTCCCCTGTTGAGAAGGGCGGACTCGAACACAAAAGTGGCGACACAGCTTACAGCACACACCAGTCACCACAGGCAGCAGCTCGGTTGCTCGGGTCGATTCTGCGTGGCCAGGCAGTGTCCAGCGAGCGTCGAGGCGCAACGTGGGAAGGTCATGAAAGCACGCTCAGCAGCCCGAGGGCCCGACCGCGGCTGGCACATCGATGAACCGCAGAGCAGCGGCCGCGGCCGATTGCTCCGCTGCCTTGCGTGTGGAACTCCACTCGCCGACAAACTCTCTGAGCTCGCCTCCCACGACCACCCTCACCGTCGCCCGAAAGTGAGGTGCGTGCGCCGGGCCCTCTCGCTCGGTGTGGTAGGTGAGGCTTGCCGACGCAGCCTGCGCCGGATACTTCCGGCCGAGCCGTGACTTGGCGTCCTCATTGATGCTAGCTTGTGCGAGCGAGGCCGGCGGCGAGGTCGGCGGCCCCGGTGCGAGCGTCGCTGCGACTGGCCTCGGCGTCGCAAGATCGTCACCTCCGCCACCTTCCGCACCGGCATCGGCGATGCGCGGCAACGGCGGCGGGTCGAGCGCATCGGGGGCAAATAAGTCGCGCAGCGTCACCTCGTCGGGCATGGGGATGGCCGCAATCGCCGCCTTGGTCTCTGCACGCGCCTCGGCGCTCGGCTGGTTGTCGGCTGTAAGGTGGCCCGCCTCGCGCATCTTCACAACGACAGTGTAGAAGAAGCGGTGGCGCTCCTGGTCCTGCGCACTCAACGGCCGACCGGGCACGAGCGCGTCCTCGACGCTGCGGGTCCCCCAGTGCGCGTCCACGTCAGCGCGAGGCACGGTGATGTAGCCGGCGGGCGAAGGGTAGTGCACGGCGCGGTGGATGCGCCGCTCTAGACGCGGCATCGCGCGGATCACCTGTGGAGTCGAGGACCAGCAAGATAGTGGGGCGGGGCAATGGGAGCTAACGCGTCGGTGCGTCATACGGGTGTGGGTGCTCGCCTCCATCGCTTGTACGCAGATGCCCGACGTGTCGAGATTGAGCGACTGGCCGAGCACCTTGCCGCAGTAGCTTTGAAAGATGCCCACGCAGTTGTAGATGTTGACGACTCCGCCCGTCGCGCAGGGCGCATAGGGGTAGAAGCCGTCGATGGAGCGCACCTCGGCGCGCTCGAGCCTCTGCGCCTCGCTGAGCTTGACGTCCTCGTTGCGCGCGCACTCCGCCATCTTCTGAGCCTTGGCCGCCTCGTCCTCCGGATCATTCTCAAAGTAGAAGACCTCCGCGTCCTCGTGGCGCGCGCGGCCGGCGCCCTGGATGTGCGACTTAGAGGTGTTGAACTTGGAGTACCGAATGACAAACTGGCAGTCGGAGACGTCAATGCCCTCCTCGAGCGCTGCCGTCGCGACGAGCACGCTCGTGCGCCCGCGCTTGAAGCCGTCGAGGACGTCCGAGCGCCTCGCGCTCGACATCGTGCCCACGCCGGAGATGGCCTGGGCGCGGATGGCGCGGCGCGCCGCCGACGAGGCCGACTGCGGGTGGTGCTGGTTGATCACATGCGCGAGCGGGAACGTCAGGCTGACCTGCTCCACGAAAATGATGCCCTTGTAGCCTCGCGTCGCCCCGTGCTCGCGAAAGAGCTCGCCGAGCAGCTCGAGCAGCCGAGTGCACTTGGAAGAGATGCATGGCGCGCCTGTGAGCTCGCCGTCGGCCTGCAGTTTGCGCGCCGCGTCGCGTAGCCCGGCGCGTAGCTGCGGCAGCACAGAGCAGAGGCGTCGCGCCTTCTCGTGGAGTGCCGGCGCGTATGGTATCTCGGAGAGTTTGATGGCGATGCCCTCGAGCTGGTACGCGAGTGACTCGCCGAGGTAAAAGATGAAGCCCATCATGCCGCACTCGAGCAGCACATGGCCCGCGCGCTGCACGAGCCTCTCCAAATCCTTCACCTTAGTGGGCATGCCGTCAAACTCGCGGAACAGCGTCTCCACCTTGCTGCGCGCGAGGCTTTCGTAGCGGGCCAAGCCATCAGCCGCCCACTCCACACGCGGTGCAAACGTCGGCTCGACGAGGTACTCCGGCGGCACGCCTGGCCGGAACATGGCGGCGTCCATACGCACCTCGAGCTGCTGCCGCTTCGCCGACAGATTGGTGAGCCGGCCCGATGCCAAGGAGGCCGTTAGACCAACGATACGCGGCATGGGCGCGCTTTCGCCTGCCTGGCGCATCAAGTGGTAGGCGTCGTACATGATGCACGCCATTGGATCGCCCCCCACGGCGTGGTGTACCTCATCAAAGATGACGAGGCCAAAGGCGGTAAGCGAGAGGCAGCCGGAGTCGACAAGCGCGCTCCTGAATATCTCGGGCGTGCCGACGAGTACATCGCTCTCGGCCAAGCACCGCGTCCAGCTCGCGCGCGTCCAGTCGCCCTGCCGCGAGCCGCACAGCTCGACCACACGCAGCGAATGCGCGCACTGCTCGCGGCACACACGCGCCTGCTGCTCGACGAGGACTACGGTTGGCGCGATGAAGAGCGCCTTGCCCACGTCGATGAAGTGGTCAATCAGGCGTACGGCGATGAGCGTCTTGCCCAGCCCCGTCTCCAGACAGACGATTGTGTTTTCACGCGTGGCCCGCTCGATCGCCTCGGTCTGGTATGGCCGCAGGAGGAGCGTGTCACGCGGCGGCGGGCGTGGTACGAGGGCGCTGCGCTCTCAGCTGGAGATCGCGCTCGAGCTCCTCCCACGGCACCGCACGCGCTGCGCCGTCGCCGCCGCCCGACGGCACTAGGTAGGAGTCCACCGGCGCGTCGCCGACGCAGTGGACGGGCACGCGGCCGACAAAGGCGAGCACTGCGCCGTGCTCGCGCTGCGCCGTGTCCTCGGGCAGATTGAAAGCGAGCGCCGGGTCGCTGCTGACGACGAAGAGCGTGCCGCCCGGCTCAAACGTGATCGCCTTGGTCAGCCGCTCTCCACGCACCTGCACGACGTCGCCGGCTCGCACGTGCTCGGAGTGGTCGAGCTTCTCCATCCATTCGGCAAGGTCGGCTCGGTGACTGCTCGTCCAGGCATCCCTGCCGTCCGGCTGCTGCTGGAGCAGTGCCAGCTCTCTCTTGAGTCGCGTGAGCTCCCCCCATACGTCGACACCCCCTATCCGAAGCTCGTCCACCTCCACCGTGCCAAACGAAGCGTTCTGCTTGACTTGTGCGGCATCGCCGCCGACCTCCGAGCTCGACGGCCCCGCAGGCAACGCGAGCGGGGCGGGCTGAGCGTCCTGCAGAGGCTCATCCTTCGTCGAGACGACCAGCCAGCGCACAGGCTCGTGGAGGTGCTTGCAGGGCGTCTTAGCTGACCCAACGCTTTTCGTCGCCGAATCAACGGGCACGTCGGCGTGCATGAGGCAGTAGTGGTGGATTGTCTTGTCGCCGTACTGCCTCTTCTGCTCCGCACTGAGCGAGGCGGTCACTTTGACCACCTTCTGGTGCGGCGCGTCCGGGTCGGAGTACCACAGCGAGCCGCCACCAAGGCCCGTCACGCTGTTGGGTTTGATCCACAAATCGAGACCGTCGGCAGAAGCAGACGCCTCACCGCCTCGCTTCTTGCGCTTGCCGTGCGCTGGGTTCGGTGCGACGTGAAAGACGCAGCTTCCGTGTGCCCGCACCTGATTTGCCACAGGCCGGCGCGGGACGGTCGCGAAGCTAGTGTGGTCGCGATACTTCAGGAGCATCAGCACTTCGTGTTGCGTCGGCGGCTTCCAGTTCGATGCCTCGGGCTCTTGTTCCAGCTGCTCGATCCGTGAGACGATTGCAGCAGCAGCTGCAGCATCCATTTCCGAATCCGCAGGCACGAGCGGCAGAGATGCCGGGTCGGGTAAATTCCGCGCGAGCCACTCCTCCAGCGACTCCGTCTCCTCATTGCTCAAGGCCTCGTTGTCGTCCATCAGCGGTCGCGGTCAACGCGGAAGAGGCGTCTCGCCCGGGTCAACCGTCAATGTGCGTCACGCTCGAAAAAATCACTTTATGCATGACATGCTCCTCCGGGCGCTCCGAACCACCGAACGAGTGGGTCGGCGCGGGGCCGACTCAGCTGTCGGAAAGAAAGAAAACACAGGCGGCAAGCTGGGGATGGAGAAGGCAAAAAAATGGGTTTCTTTCGTCGCTTGCTGAGAGCCAGTCGCTGAGCAGAAGAAGGTCTTGTTGGCTTCTAAAAATCTCTCTCTCTCTGAGCAGGCAACGAACGCCTGAGAGCCGACGCACATGGCGCTTGAGGGTGTGCACACACAGTTGATCTCAAAAGAATTGCTTGACCACGTCCCCCCTGTTGCCCCCCCAAGCACTCACGGTGCCAAGGGCTCAAACAACAGCACACAAATACAGACAGGCGACAGGGGGTAACGTGTGAGGCTAGAGCAGACTGCTCAATCTCTAGCAATCTCGCCGGCCGCAAAAGGCACACAGGACCGTGTGTGGGGTCGTGTGAGGTGTCTCGAGCGAGAGAGAGACGTACAAGTCTATCGCAGGTCTATCGCCGAAGGAAGTTTTTCGCGTTGCGTTCTCTTGGCGCGTGGTCTATGGTTTGCTAGACCCATGAGACCAGCCACGCCGCGCCCTCGGGGGCGCCTCCGCACCCGCACCGCCGGTCCGCCGCCCTCAGCCACCCAGCCACGCCGCTACGACCGTCGGAGTGTATAATACGGAGACGTCAACTCCACGGACCACGGTTCTCCGCCGTCACAAGGCGCTGGGAGCAACACGGACCCAAAACATCAACAAAGTGGTCATTGTGACACCACCCATACAGCAACTCAGTGATGGCCATTTACTGGTATAGCCCCCCAGAACAATCAAACACTCTACGGCCAAAACAATCAAATTGTGGTAAGATTTACCACGACTTCTGAGGCAAAATCTGACAAAAATCGGAGAAATCGGCAAAATGCCCGGTATTTTCCAGGTATACCCGGGGTTTCCCAGATATACCCGCAAAATACCCGGTATTATTGCCAATTTGGCTGAATTTGGCCGCAAACCAGCCTCTCTCTAGACTCGGCTCAGATCCCGAAAAATTGATGATTCCATTGAGTTTCGTAATTTACCATACCATTCTCTGCTCATACCATACCACTCCCCAGGAGAATCAAATAAGTGGTAAATACCACTCTTTTACCAGTAAATGGCCATCACTTGTGCACAAGTGACTGAGGGCCAGTGAGGGCGAGCCCATCGCTGTGACAGCTGTGGCAGCCGCACAGTAGGCTGTGTCAGCTGTGCAGAGTGTGTGAGCAGCAGAGGAGCTGCTCTCCAGGCTTCAGGCGCAAAGAGATGCATGCCACCGAAGGCGCTGTCGAGTTCGCCGAGAGCGGCGCAGGTTGGAGGTGTGTCACCGTCACCGACGAGCGCGTTGGACTTTTCACTCCGGACGGCGACACGCACACGAGCTGCGGCCGTGTCGCCGTCATAGTGGCGAGGCGCGGGACCGTCTGTGGCGAAGTGGGTCGCGTCCTCCGATTTCCGTCAACTCAGCATCCACACCCCTCCTACGAAGTAGAGGTAGTGCTACTGGCAACGAAAGAAAAAACGACGTCTCTTCTCGGAAACGACGAAGCCGCCCAGCACATACAGAGGAACCAGGAAGGTACTAGGTACAAGAGAGACGCAACGGGTGTTTGCCACCGCGCACCGGGGGTCGGAGGAACAAAACCAGTGCAGCTATCCGTCTCTGCCATGCGAACCGCCATTCCGAAGGGGGGCGCTCGCTATGTACAACACGTCCGCGACGCGACCGGCATCGCCGCCCCCGCAAGTTAGGGCCTTTCCCCTGCCTAGTGGCGTTGCGCCTGCGCAAAGCTTGGCGCGGCGGGGAGGGAGGACATGAAGCCGCCCTGGATGGCCTGGGTGAGGTCCTGCAGCGCACCTGCTCGAGAGGTGTTGGAGCGGGGTGTTGGGGAGAAGGTGGTGGGGGAAAAGGCGGTGGGGGGGGGAAGGCGGTGGGGGAGGGGAAGGCGGTGGGGGGAGAGAGAAGGTGGCGGGGGAAGAGGCGAGGGGGGAGAGCGCGCCGGGGGAGTGGTTCATGAAGACGGCGTTGGAGCGCGAGTTGCCGCCGACGTCCTTCATCATGTCGAAGTACTGCGTGACGAGCAGCAAATCCATCACCTAGGGGCAACAGGGAAGACTCGCGCGCAAAGAACGAAGCCGCGCGCTGCGGGACGAGCAGCACGCCGATCACCTAGAAACAAAAAAGAAAGCCTGTGGCGAGGAAGGAAAGACGGGCGGCCCACTGCGTGGTGTAGCAGCGGGTTCGTCGCCTGCTTCGAGTCCACGCCCGCCACGTCCGCCTGGGGGGGGGGGGTAGGGGGGGGTAAGGAGGGGGGGGGAAAGGGGGGGAAAGGGGGGGAAAGGGGGGGAAAGGGGGGAAAAGGGGGGGTAAGGGGGGGTAAGGGGGGGAAAGGGGGGGGTAAGGGGGGGGTAGCCTTGAAGCAGTTGACCGAGGGTTAGGGTTAGGGTTAGGATTAGGGTTAGGGTTAGGGTTCCGACCTTGAAGCAGTTGACCGAGTCATATCTCCCATATCTCCCCATATCTCCCCATATCTCCCCATATCTCCCCATATCGCCGCCTTGAAGCAGTTGACCGAGTCATATCTCCCCATATCTCCCCATATCTCCCCATATCTCCCCATATCTCCCCACGCCTTGAAGCAGTTGACCGAGTCGCGCAGTCCCGACACAATCGCCTGCCGCTGCCGCGCGATGCCCTGGCCCTGCATGAACTTGGCCTCCGCGTCCGCCTTGGCCTGGATCTCTGTGCGCGCCGCCTCCGCCTCCGCCTCCTTGATCGAGCGGATCTTGATCGCCTCGCCCTCGTCGACCGCGGCTTGGCGGAGCCGCTTCGCCTTGTTGATCTCGTTCATCGCGCGCTTGACCTCCAGGTTCGGCTCGATGTCGGTGACGGGCGTGGCGAGGATGGAGTAGCCGAAGCGGCCCATCGTCTCGCCCAACATTTCCTTAATGGATGCGGCGATCTCCTCCTTCTCGAGGAAGACGTTGTCCAGGTCGATCTTGGGCACCGACGACCGAACGACGTCGAGCACGTAAGACTCGATCTGCCGGCCGCGAGGGGGGGGAGGTGAGAGGACAGGCTCCGCAGTTGCCGCCGGGATAATCCGCGTCACCACGAACGGTAAGGCGTGCGCGGGAAATAGAAGGCGCGGGCGGGTTGCTGTGGCACGCGATTACTGCCGGCCCGGGCGCTGCCGGCCGCAGGGGCCGGTGAAAACGCGTGCGTGTGTGTGTGTGGGGGGGGGGGGGGGGGGGGGGGGGGGGGTCAACCACGGGCCGGCCCCCGCTTCGGCAGCGGGGGGGGGGGGGGTTGAAAAAGAAGCCGGCGGTCGTGGGGAGAGCGCAGCCAGGCAGAGGAAGGCGCAGAGGGCCGCTGGCCTCAGCAAAGCTAGAGGGCGGCTGGAAGCCTGCCCAGCGAAGCTCCGGTGGCTTGCGAGCGGAAGCGCCGAAACGGCGGAAGCGGCGGCGGCGGCGGCGGCGGCGATATGGGGAGATATGGGGAGATATGGGGAGATCGAGCCTGCGCGCGGGGGTTGGTGAGCTTGTACATCGCGTCTTGGATGGACTGGCTGTCGCCGTTGACCTGGTGCGAATCGTCAGATGTTCAGAGCGGCGGTGCCCCGGAGGGGGGGGGGGGGGGGAGCGTCCGCCATCGCCGGCGCTGCTTGCAGTGTCGTGGCGATGACGCTGCCTGCTGCTGCGGTTGCTGCTGCTGCTGCTGCTGCTGCTGCTGCTGCTGCTGCTGCTGCTGCTGCTGCTGCTGCTGCTGCTGCTCCTCCGCGCCCCTCCCCGCAAGGCGCGCGACACATACCTGGTAGAGATCTCCCATATCTCCCCAGATCTCCCCACACCTGGTACTGGACGGCGACCTTGATGCCATATCTCCCATATCTCCCCAGATCTCCCCACACCTGGTACTGGACGGCGACCTTGATGCCATATCTCCCATATCTCCCCATATCTCCCCACACCTGGTACTGGACGGCGACCTTGATGCCATATCTCCCATATCTCCCCAGATCTCCCCACACCTGGTACTGGACGGCGACCTTGATGCCATATCTCCCATATCTCCCCAGATCTCCCCACACCTGGTACTGGACGGCGACCTTGATGCCATATCTCCCATATCTCCCCAGATCTCCCCACACCTGGTACTGGACGGCGACCTTGATGCCATATCTCCCATATCTCCCCAGATCTCCCCACACCTGGTACTGGACGGCGACCTTGATGCCATATCTCCCATATCTCCCCAGATCTCCCCACACCTGGTACTGGACGGCGACCTTGATGCCATATCTCCCATATCTCCCCAGATCTCCCCACACCTGGTACTGGACGGCGACCTTGATGCCATATCTCCCATATCTCCCCAGATCTCCCCACACCTGGTACTGGACGGCGAACTTGATGCCATATCTCCCATATCTCCCCAGATCTCCCCACACCTGGTACTGGACGGCGACCTTGATGCCATATCTCCCATATCTCCCCAGATCTCCCCACACCTGGTACTGGACGGCGACCTTGATCCCGACAAAGACGTTGTCCTTGGTCTTCGTATCGGCGTTGATCTCGAGCATCTGGGGAGAGATGGCGAGAGATGGGAGGTATGGGGGAGATGTGGGGAGATGTGGGGAGATGTGGGCAGATATCCCGCATCTGGGTGCAGGCGCGGGGGCGGCGGTGGCTAGTAAGGGCGCAGTGAGGGCAGCAGCAGAGGGCAGAGGGGCGGAGGGCAGAGCGGCGGGGGGCAGAGAGGCGGGAGTGGAAAGGAGACGGCGGCGAGGGAGAGACAAAGGAGCAGGGCGTGTGGCGCTGCTATGGCGCAGCCAGCGGTGGCGAGACTCTCGCGCCTGGATGCGGGTGGAGATGGACCCCTTGACAAACTGGCAGAGGCAAGGGAGCACGCAGGAGAAGCCCGCGTCGAGGACGTCTTCGAACTTGCCGCAGCGCTCGACGACCTTGCGCTCGTCCTGCGCGGCGGGGAGACGGCGGGGCGGTCACACGCGTCGACAGCCGCGCCCGAGCGGCGGCGCCCTCTCGCGCGGAAAAGACGGAAGTGTGCCGGGCGCAGAGAGCGGGCGAGGGGAGAGGAGCTGCTTCGAAGAGAGGCGGCGGTGAGAGCGAGCGGCGTGCCGCCGTGGTTCGCGCCAATGGCCGGCGGTCACCGCGCATGGCGCGGGTGCGGGTCTGGTGGAAAGAGACCCAGCGGCGAAACTGCCGGCATTCTAGAATCGTTTCTGAAGCGGCGCGGCGGCAATGGGGAGAGAGCGGACCTGGGAGGTGATGACGCAGCCGCAGGCTTCCATCGCTGAAGTCGAGAGTCTACAGTGGTCCAAAATCAGGTGACACACGTGGGCGGCGGCCCCGAGGCTTTTGGGGCGGCCACAAGGAGCCGGCTTGATCAGAAGTGTCCGGACAAGCGCTGCCTCGAGCGAGGCTGATTTGTTTTCCCCGGGGAGGGTACCCATTCGCGACCTAACGCTGCTTCAGAAGTCCGCGGACAGCGCTGCATCGAGCGAACCCTTTCTTTATTTTTGAGAGCGCCTTCGTTGTTAGGAAGCCACCGGATGTAAGTGGGGCGGGTTTGCTGCTGCGGGGTCCCCCGCTGTGCGCTGTCGCCCGGGACAAGCGCTGCCAGGCAGACATTTGTTTAATTTTTTGAGAGTACTCTCTCTCGGCTTGATTGATTGATGGGAAGGCGAAACACAGTCCGACCAACGACTGGCTAACATCGTTTAACCATTCGGTGTCGCTCCTCATCGACTCTTGAACCTCGACAACCCCCGCACTCCCCACAAACTTTCAACCAACAAGGAAGCCGCGCCGTATCTCCCCCACAACGGCCTCCCGTCTGCGGCGCTGCGCCACACACATGTACCACCCCGACGACCTGCCGCTCCGCGCCACCCTCGAGCGGCGCGACTCGGACCTGCAGCTCTCGCCTCGCACCGGCACCTCCAGGATCAGCAGTCTCCTCGCGTCGCCAATCCGCTCCATTGGCAAGCAGCCGCCGGGCAGCCGCCTGCGGCAGCCGGCAACTCGGACGCTGGCGGTGCTGCTGGTGTGCGCCGGAGCTGCCGCCGCCTATGTCGTCCGTCCGCACCGGCTCTTTATGAGCTCCCCATGCCTAAAGGCGTGCGGCCTGCGTTTTTTGCGGTGCGTTTGTGCACGGCACAGCCTGACCTGACTGGCCCTTCGCGCAGGTCGAGGCTCGCAAGCCGGGGCTCCGGTTCTGGGACCTGTGCGATCAGTACCTGAGGCTGCCTCTCGACACGCCAAAGAGCCAGCGCTGCTCTGCATGGCGGGTGCCCAAGCTATACCACGCCGTCGGCAAGGACGCGAGCCCGCCTCCTGCCGTGGTGGGCAATGCGGCGAGGAATCCCGACTTCCAGCTGCGCTATCTCGGCGACGAGGCGGCGGCGGAGTATGTAAAGGCGCGGTGCGGCGAGGCGGCCCATGCGGCGTACCAGTGCTTTGTCGCGCCGGCGTACCGGGCAGACCTCTTCCGGTACTGCGCGCTGCATGCGGACGGTGGGGTGTACCTGGACACCGACATCATGCTCGCGGTCAGCATCCCGGAGGCCGTGGACATGTGCGACGGTGCCACTCTCGGGCACGATATTCCTCAGCTCCCGCTGCCGCCGCACCGGCTCGGAGACGCGGTTGTGCCCGGCATGCAGATGAAGATCCTCGGCGGCGAGCCGGGGCATCCGCTCTTCAAGTGCATGCTCGACGGCATCATCGGCCATGTCCGCACTCGCTTCTCGTCTCGCTATCCGCTGCAGGCGCGCGGTCCACTAACCTACACCCTATCCATCCACCGCCGTATGCGACTCCCCTGTGCCACCACCCCTCTCCATCCTCACCTTCCGACCGCCACCGACTCGGGCCTTCCTCCTTCGCCGCCTCGCTGCAGCCGGCGTCACCACCCTTCCGTTGCCACCCCTCGTTTCGCCTCCCGTAGGTCACTGGGCCCTCGCTGCTCGCGGACTGCTACCGCCAGACGCTGCTTGGCGATTCGACAGCCGAGAGAGCACGCCGCCGCGGCGCAGTGCCCACGTATCCGCCACTCCAGGCAGAGCCGGCTGACGAGACCGGCTGGCCTGTGGGCTTCTTCGGCCCGTCCGGCCCGGCGGCCGCGGCCGGAGCCTCCGGGCGAGCCAACGCGAGCCTCCACGTCACGTACCGCGAATCACACGGAGCGGCGTGGCCGCACTCGGGCCTGATGGGGGCGAGCGGGCTGCTCGCATTCGAGACGCCGAGCAGGGAGAACTACGCTCCCGGCGACCTAGACGGCGACAAGCGGCGGTCGGAGGAGGTTGCCCTCAAGAAGCTCCACTACCACGAGCTGATGATCAAGGGTGTCTTGTACAGTGACTCGTGCCCTCTCGAGAGGAGGCCCGCGCTCTGAGCCCTTCGTGGAGAGAGAGGAGAGTACATCGATTGAGGACCAAAAAAAAGCGGCCATTTCGCCCGAATCCGCATCGGTGTCGCGCCCCAACGCCAATCTCCGGGTACCGGGAGGTTACGACTTACGTAGTTCTCCTTCTACGGGGTCGGAGCCAAGATGCAAAAGAAGGAGGGCTTCGACCTTCACGCACGTCTTCGCGACGCTGGTCGCGCCTCCGTACCGCGGGAAGCCGCTCCCCATCGCGGAGAGGAAGCCGTCCCGCGTGCGCTCGACCGCTGAGAGGCAGAGCGAGTCGTCAATCAGCCGCAGAGCAGCAACGACCCCTCCCACGTCGCCTCCCCGTGCGCGGCGGCGGCGGGCGCGGCGGCGGGCGCGGCGGCGGGCGCTGGCTGCGGCCGGAGCCTCGGCGTGGACGGCAAGCGGGAGAGGTAGGTCGCGAGGAGCGAGAGGTCAAGGGCCCTTAACGGTCTGTGCGCGCACACTGCGAGAGCGCCCGAGCACGTGTGCTGGGCGCCAGGCCCATACGGCGCTCCAAATCCGCACTTCGCGAGCTTCTACGGGAGTTCACGCGGCCTCTCCGCCTCGTGAGGCACACCCCACACCCACCACGAGTCCTGGGGCCGCGGGCGGACCTTTGGCCGCGGCGTCCGGAGCTTTAGTCGTCGAACATCGGCCGCCAACTAGGCCGTCGAGCGAACGTGTCCGGAGAGGCTCTCGGACGGGTCCGGCAGCGGTGCCATGGACCCAGAAGCTCGCCCCGGCGGAGCACTCACGGCTCGTCCCCCGCCCCTGGCCACCCAGACGTGCCCTTGGACCTGCCGTAGGGGCTCGCATGACTGACCACGTTGGCGCCCGCGACGACGCCCTCCCCGACGACGTCGCATTTATTTATTACAAGATTACCCACCTGTTCATACGTGGTGCTTGTCGGTCATCTCTCTCGGAAAGTGGTGAAAACGACTGCCGAGCCGAGACGCGCTCTCTCGGAAAGTGGTGAAACCGAGTTCGCCTTGTCACGGCCCGAGCTCGCTTTTTCGGTAGAGTCTATGACGACCTGCAGCAGCCTCGCCGCTGATTCACCTCCCGCACCACCAACCGTGCAGCTCGAGTCGGAAGCGTGTTGGCTCACCTCTGCCACGATTGAAGTTTTGCTGCGGCACAACCAAATCTCTAGCATGAGCGTCGAGGCGATGGTTGCCGCCGTCGACTCAGCCTACCGCAAGCTCCCGCACGCCTTTGGCCAGATGACGCCTCAGCGGATCATGGGCTTGCCCGTGGCCCAAGCCGTGCCCATATCGCTAAGGACGCACATCCCGCTCTCCGCTGCGCCCCTGCTACAGACCACCAAGGCAATGCCGCCGCCACCGTCCCCGCCGCTCTCGCCTCCGATGTCTGTCCCCACCGCGGCGGCGTCGCGCTCGCCGTTTAAGCGCAGGCGCACCAGCCCGTCGGACGACGACCTGACCCCGCTCACGGCAGAGGAGCGGTACCGTGCGCGGCTGCTCCTGGCTGAGAAGGAGGGCCGACTGCCCAAGTACGTCGTTGCCCGCATCTTGGGCGGCGCGGGGGCGTGAGCCATCGCGGTCGCTCCCCGACCACGGCGCCCCCCGCCCTCGGGCTGAGTCGCATGCATGAGTCACTTGCTTTTGACAGTAGTCGGGCTCGATTAGATCGGGACACAGTACCGTCGGCAACTCGGCATCTGACTCACTGGCCCAGTGTGTGTGCACGGCGCAGAGCGCACATACTATGTACTTTTTATGTACAACAACGACTATGGACAAGATACAACGGTCCCTAAATCTCATCTCTCGTCTCCGCGCTCAGACTAGCGCTCAGACCTCTCACGGCCCGAAAAAGCCCGCCACGCGGATAAATAAATAAAAACGGACACACCTCTGTTTTGTGAGATGGGTAAACCTAAACGCGGAGAGTTCTTGACCGTGTGTTTTATTCTTACGGTTCCACGGAACGGTGTGAGATTCTCCGGTTTCGCCCCTCCAATCGAATGTCCAAAGGGTCGTGCGCGCGGGCGGTTCTTACCGGTTTCGTTCAGCCAATAAAATGCGTGTTGATCAAGGACAAGGTCATGACAGTAGCGGCCAGTGCAGGGGACACCACTCATGCGATCATGGTACCATGTTGGGCTAGAGCAGGTTTGCCTCTCGCGGTGTGGGTGCGTTGGGCTAGAGCAGGTTTGCCTCTCGCACCCCGTCTGTTTTTCCTTTCCTTTTTTCTCGACAACACCCTCTCTTTTCCTCTCTATTTTCGGAAAAACTCCGTGGAAATCCTATCGTCAAATTTTGGGCGCTGAGCCGAGTCTGAGGCTGGTTTGGGCCCAAAATCAGCCAAATTTTAGGCCAAATCGGCAAAATGCCGGGAATTTTGCGCGGAGAACCCGTGTATACCTGGAACTAGGTAGGTAGGTAGAAAGGTGAAGAACAGCCAGGCTCGGACTGGACACCAACGCGGTATGGGTGGACGCGAGACAGATGATGACGACACGCACGAACGACACACAGACACAAACAAGCTCACAAGACACCCAGCCAGCTGGCTGCCACACACCCTGAGTTGGCGTATACATAACTCAGGGCCACATTCTTCCTGTCGCCCCCCCCAGCACTCCAAGGTGCCAAGAGAAACAAACAAGGGCACAACAAACAACAGACGACAGGAAGCAACGTGCGAGGCTCGAGCAGGCTTGCTCGTCCTCTAGCAATCTCCGCCGACCGCGAGGCCGGACTAGACCGTGTGTGGGGTCATGTGAGGTGTCTCTGGTCACTCTCCTCAGGGGCTAGCCGCCAGCGGCCAGCCCTATCTCGCACTCACTGGCGGTGACAATTCTATGGGTGAGGGTACGCGAGCAGAGGTGCGTGAGCCGATTCTCGATCGCACGCCCTTGGCATATAACTTGGCTTGGCGTGCAACCTCAGCGCGCCCGCTTACCCTGCGACCGCCTGGGTATTTGGAGCACTTGGAGTGCAGTCATTAGCCTCACATCCAGGGCCGGGGAGCTAAGGAGCGCACCCAGCGGGCCGGATGATCGGGATCGGGTTGCGGGCAAGAGAGCCCTAGCCCCGGGGGTGCGCGTTCGCAGGGCCATAACACGGGTCTCCGAGGGATAGTACCGCGCTCCGGGTTTCCCCTAGCAGCAGAACGCACCCTCTACTCGGAGCTAGTAATGCGTATTTTGTCGATTTCCTCAATTTTGCCTCAGATTTTGCCCCAGACCAGCTCTCAGACTCAGGGAAACTCGCGAGTTTCCAGAATGGAGCACCAAACACCCTCTGTTTTCCCTGGAAATTTCCGGAAACGCAAAGTGCTGGGGACCCTCTGTTTTCCTTTTTGTTTTCCGGAAAACCTGCTCTAGCCCAAATGGCGAAATGGGTGGACGCGGGACAGATGATGAACAACGTTTGGTATTGCTAAAAATCTCTCTCAGATGATGAGAGGATGATGACGCACACACACACACACACACACACACACACACACACACACACACGCACGAGCAATCGAGCAACACACAGACACAAACAAGCTCACAGGACACACAGCCAGCGTGGCTGCCACACACCCTGAGTTGGCGTACACATAACTCTGTCGATTGGAGAAAAAGAGAAATTTAAAACTGAAAAAGAGAAAACGCGGAGCGTGTTGCGAGCACCCTTTGAGCCCGCCCTCTCTGCTGCCCCGCCCTCCCTGCCGCCGCGCCGGTTTCACCCTCCACACCCCGGGGGACGCCTCTAAAGCTGCCGCCGCCGCCTGCCACCACCTGGTCGCATGTCAAAGCGCCGCTCCTCACGCGCTGTCGAGGCTGCTGGAGCGCCCTCCAAGCAGCGCCGCGGCGAACCGCTGATCTGCCTGGTCTGCGGCCTCTACGCAGACGGCAAGGTGGCAGTCGCCTGCAGCCTCCTCAAAGAGCTGAAGGCGGCGTCCGTGCTCGTTGGCGATCTGGCGGCAAAGCGGGCCGTTTCAAAGAAGGCTGGCGGCGCTTTCGAGGTTGCCGAGTACGCGGCGGAGGTGCCGCATCTGCCTGACGGGAGCATTGTCATCGTTGCGCACGATTTCGCGCAGCCATCGCGGGTGGCGGCGGCGGTGGAGGCGTCCGGCTCGTCGTCTCCCAAGCTGCTGTGTGTGATCGACACGCGCAGCTTCCTCGACGAGTGGGAGAGCGTGGAAGCATTGCCGCCGCGGCTTCGGGAGGCGACCGCTCACACCGCACACCACGCACATACTCACGCGCAGCACCATCTCGCCCGCCCAGCTTCCCCCTCCGGTGCACCCCTGCACAGAGACGGATGTCCGGCACCACCTCTTGGATTCACCACCAGGCTGCAAAGACGGACCTCCGCGCGCACCTTCGAGACAAGAAGCGCTGCGAGGTGCTGGCGGAGTGCGTGGAGAGCGCCGGTGAGGCACCACTCCTCGCGTGGAGAGACACGCCTCTTTCTTCCCCGTCTTCCCCACGCTCACGCCGCGCACAACGGCTGACGCGGGTCCGTGGGCTCGCTCCCCTCTCAGACGTGATTGCGCTGAGCCACGCGGAGGCTGCAGACGCGGACGAGCTCGAGATGCTCGAGGCGATGCTGCGCGCGCTCAACCCGTCGGCCGCCGTCGTGCGGCACAGCGGTCGTGGCGAGGGCCATGGCGAGGGCGGCGGAGGCGTGGGACCCGTTCGCCGCCCAACAATACCAAGGTCATGGCATGACAATAGGCGGGGGTCTGGTGGAGCGCCTCGCAACATCGGCATCAGAGGGCCGGGCGCCGGCGGAGCGGGGCGGGTGCTGGGCGGCACTGGTCGCGGCTCGCGGGGTGGCGGGGGAGGAGGGGGAGGGCGCGGAGGGTGGAGGCGAGGAGGAGGAGGAGGAGGAGGAGGAGGAGGAGGAGGAGGACGGCAGCGAGGGCGAGAGCGAGGAGGAGGAGCGAGAGGAGGGCAGCGAGGAGGATGGCGACAGCACAGGCAGCGAGGGCGGAGAGGGGGGCAGCGAGGAGGAGGGCAGCGAGGAGTGGGTGCCACCGGCGATGAGCCGCTTCACCTTTTTCGCGAGGCGGCCTTTCCACCCCGGCCGACTCCACAAGCTGCTCAAGCGCGGCCGGCTCGACGGCGTGGTCCGCTCGTGCGGCATCATCTGGGTGGCGACGCATCCCGAGGATGCAATCTCGTGGAGCCAGGTGGGGAATGCGCTGGACCTGTCACCGGGCGAGCCGTGGTTGCACGCGACGCTGCCCGTGGACCAGTGGCCCGCTGCCGTGCCAGCCTGGGCAAGCGCCGCCGAGCACGGCGACCGGAGGATTGAGCTCGGGATGGTTGGGATGGACGCAGACGAGGAGGCCGTGCTCGCGGAGCTGCGCCGCGCGCTCGTGACGAGGGCGGAGTTTGAGCTGGGGGCGGAGGCGTGGCAGGAGTGGGAGGACAAGGTCTCCCCTTCCTCAGCGGCGCAGCGCAAGCAGCGGGACGACTCGACTTCGGACGACGACCAGTCGGCGGAGGATGACCAGTCGGCGGAGGACGACCAGTCGGCGGACGACGACGTTGCGCCGGCCGTGGACCCGAAGCTTCTCGCGGTGACCGCGGCGCCGCCCTCCGCAGCGCCGACGGACAAGATCGTCGTCGTCGGCAGCGCCGCCGGCCTCGCCCGAATCAAGGACGAGGCGGTACAGCTGGCCGTGTGGCGGCGCAGGTCCGTCCCGAAGTTCGTCTCGACGCTCTCGGACCCGACCATCGCTCCCTCGGGCTTGCCGCGCTTCGAGGGGGTCGTGGCGGCGAGCGGCGCGGCCGACGCGGTGCGGGCAGAGCTGCGCGCGCAGAGGAAGCTCACCCTCCTCCCTGGAGAGGTGGAGGAGCTCGCGCGAGACGTCGGCACGCTTGTGCGCACCTTTGCTCAGCTCACGCAGTCGCAGGACGTCTTTGTCAAGCTCGAGCGCCTCGACGACAACGGGTGCGAGTTCTGGCACCAGGACTCCGTCTCGTACCGTCTTCTGACAACCTACCGCGGCCCTTGCACGGAGTGGGTGCGCTCGGACTGTTGCCCTCCAAGACGGGTGCTGCTGTGGACAGCTGTCTCACAACCTGGAGCTCTGAACAGGTGCACCCGGACCTCTCCGAGGCGACGCTGCGCCGCCGGCGCGCAGACTCGGCGCAGGCGCAGTCCCTCTGCCACCACGACGTCGCTCTCTTCAAGGGGCGTGGCGAGACCACCCTGGGTGATTGCTTTCTCCTCACCTCTTCGTTCCCTTCTCTCGCGACTTGTCGAGCCTCCCTGGCCCCTCTCTTGCGCTTAGGCGGCAAGCTCCTCGACCACCCCGGCATCGTGCACCGATCGCCCCACATCGCGGGGAGCGGGGCGTGTGCACTTGCGCGGTGCTCGTCCTCCGCCAGGTGAGCAGTCGCTTCATTCACGGGTGCTGTGATCAGGTGCACCGCGTGGTGCTCGTGCTCGACATTCCGCGGCCGGCCCACTTTGAGTAGGAGACTCAGCTGGCCTGCAGGCGCTACTCGCCACGCAAGTAGGAGGCTGGCCTGCAGCGTGAATCGGCGCTACTGAGTAGAGGAGGTCAAGTAGCTTTGCGCCGTAACATAGTCAGTACTCTCAAGGTAGGAAAGGTCCGACCCGCAGGCTGCCTTGAAGAGGGCAGTCTGTAGATAGTATCGTCCGAGGTCATCGAATGTGTACAAGTAAAGCTGTATGCGCACAAGAGCACTCTACAGGAACCTACAAGTACTGTACAAGTATCGTGCTTACCCCCCGCGCTCCTGAGCGCAAACACGTCCGGGGCACCCTGTCTGCACTGTCACGTACGGGTCTCTACCCTCTACTCTCCAGACCCCGAGAGAGACAGAGAGAGAGAGAGAGAGCTCTCGCCTCTCTCCGGGACACCGCGCGCCGGGAGGAGCCGGAGCGCGGAGGCGGGAGCGGAGGAGCACAAAAAACGAACACCGAACACGCGACACGCCGCACCGGGATGCGGGAAGCCGCACCGCGCGCGATGGTAAAAGCGCTAAGGCCCAAGCTCGCTCCCATGCTTTGACCGCGCGAGTGCGCCGGCGATCGCGCGAACGAACCCGCAGCCGCGCGCTGTGCAAGCAGACCGCCGCGCACCACATGCATCGGCAACACGGTCCCCTGCATCATAACTGCACTAGGGCGTCGAAGTCTTTGCGAGACACGCACCCGTCGCCATCCTGGTCGAGACTCTGGATCATGTGAGCCAGGAGCAACGTACCGCGCCGCTCGAGGCCCCGGCGCGCCACAAAATTCCTCAGGTCATCCTCCCGGATCACCTTGGATTGATCGCATGCCACGTCGGCGAAGACGTGGGACAGGCGCGATGGCAGCCTCGGCCTCTCCGCCTCTCTGGCATCCTCCCCAGTCGTCGGCTCGCCCTCGTCAGTGGCGGTCGAGCTGGGCCTCTCCAAAGCTTGCTCGCCGAGCAACTCTTTCCAGGCATCCTTCATGCACACCTTGCGGGGTCGAGGGAGGGGCGGTTGGGTGCGAGAGCGCGCGCTTGAGAGGGGAGTGCAGGTGCCACGCGCCTCGATGATGAGCTGCTTGGCGGGTGGACAGGCCTCGAGGTCGGGCACCACAAGAGCGTTGCGCTCGTCACCGCCCGCGCGGACATACGTCATCAGCGGCTCGACGCTGTTCATCCCAGTCAAGAGGTACTGGTAGATCGCCACCATGTAGAGCCGGTCGGGCTCCAGCGGCGCCCCATTGATTTCCGTGAGCTCATGTGTGTCCCTTCGACATCGCGCGTCCTCATCGAGGTGGAGGAAGGTGGGGTTGGGTGTCGGTCGAGAGCGAGTAGACCGGACCGACTCTGCGAGGACCCTTCCGGGCAGAGGCACGAGCGCGAGCTCGCACTCGAAGGCGAGCTCGGAGAAGAGGTCGCCGAGCGTGAAGGGTGCGGCCTGGTAATCCGCTTTGCCGCGCACGGCGCCCGCCTGCAGCACCACCAGCTCGACGCCATCGCGGCGCAGGCCGCGCTTGATGAGAGAGAGGAGGTGCGTCGCGAGCCGTGACTCCTCGAAGCGCACTAGCTTTGACGAGTAGCGCGTAACAGCGGGCTCAGGCACGGCGAAGAGCGGCACCGACATCATCCTGTCGAGTGAAGCCGCCTGCGTCGAGACCCATGCCAGCACCTCCCCGTCCGGCTCAAACGCAGCGGCCGGCAGGAGCTCCACGCGCGTGTGCATCTCGCCCCCGAGATCCCACCAGATGTCGACGACCCCAATCCGTTCTGCGTCCTGCCCCACCTTGACCACAGTGGACCGGCCGACCGTCTCGACAAAGATGTCGTGCTCATGGCCGCCCAGGATGATCGGAGTCAGCGCCGCGAGTTGTGGGTCCTCCTCCGCGAGGCTCTCGGCCGAAGCGCGGTCGTGAGGGACAAGCTGATGAGTCATCGGTACGAACAACGCTGCAGAGGCTGCCCTCTCCCCGAGCGAGGCTAGCGCCTGCTGCCAGGTCTGCCGAAAGGCGGACGCATCGATCGGGCTGACGTTTGGCCGAGATGAGGGCCGATAGCAGGAGAGATCATTGGTCGCGTAGCCTCCAAAGACTGCGGTGCGCGCCCCCACGCTAACGGTGGCGAATGTGGGCAAGTCTACCAGCTCTGGGCCGTCGATGTTTGAGTTCAAGCACGTGGTGCTGTGGATGCCCCCAATCTTGCCCGCAAGCGCCGCAGCTCCGATATCGAACTCGTGGTTTCCGAGGCAGACATAGTCAATTTTTGCTCTGATCAGCGCCTCCGACATGACCTTGCCGCCGTCCAGCGCGGTGAAGGTGCATGGACTTAGGAAGTCTCCATTGAGGTGCGTCGTCACCACCGCACCAATCGACTCCGCCCCGGAGCGTGCAGAGGCTAACGCCGTTGCCAGGCGCGGATAGTTGTCGAGGATGTAGATGTCGTTGACGGTGATCATGCGCAGGAACGGCCCGTCTGCAGCGTCTGGCCGAGGAGGCAGAGCCCGCCGTGCCATGGTGGCCGCGCTATCGCTCGACGCGTTCGTGTCCACCGTTGAAGGAAAGGTCAGCAGTTGCGCGTTCGTCTCCACGGCTAGGTCGCAATGCCCGCAGCGGACGCACGTTTGCGAAAAGAATTTTACAACGAGCGCCCTCAGCTCCCTCGCACGTTGTGCGAAAAGAATGAGATGGAGTGAGGATTAGAGAGAGAGACATCGGCTGCGCCGACTGCGAGCGAGTTCTTTACCAAGTTGCAACCCTTGTTCCGCACTCGGCTGTGAACGCTGCTGTTTGCCGCCGGTTGAGCAGCACCCCGTCCCCATCCAGGTTGTTGGTTGCTGCCCCAGGTCCCGCACTATGTAGGTGCACTGCTTCAGCAGCGTGCACCTACCTCGATCGACGATCCTGGTCGCTGGTGTCGGTTGCGCAACCTTTTTGCCGACCTCCGAGCCCAGATAGCGCGCCGTGTCTGATCCTCGTCGGCATCTGCTTCCGGGCCTGGCGGCCCGCCACAAGGACTTAGGTGAGAAGTGCCCGCCGAAACATCGGAACGACGCTGCTCCGCTCGACTTGGTTGGTTGCTGGCAGCACCCCAGCACCGGGGGGTCCTGAGAGCTGTTGGTTGGTGCTCTGTTCACAGCACAGTGCGGAACAAGGGTTGCAACCTGGTACTCGTAAAGAACTCGCTCGCTGGTGCGGCAGGCGGAGCTCGGGCGCGATCTCGCCTGCATGCAATAGCTGTGGCGCGCGGCAAGCATGAACCAGACTCGACGGATGCGCACGCGCTCAATGTCGCAGAGCTTCCTCGCGGCCGCCGCGACGCGTACGCGTGCGTGCGACGCGTCTGGCACGGCCGTCCATGAGGCGGTGGAGCTCGCAATCCAAATTGCGTGCAGTGCTGGTTATCTCGAAGCTGGTGACGTGCTTCGCCTCGAGCAGGTGTGCCACGCCTTCGATGCCGAACAAGCGCAGGCCCTTTGGGCAGAATTATGCCACCACATTTGGGCGATTCCGACGAATGCTCACGTAATCTTTCGTGACGGAGCAAACGTCGTGTGGAAGCGTCGTTATCAACAGGCTCTCTCGTGGGATGGTCGGCTGTACGCGTCAGGCCTGCAGGCGAGTTTTCCCAATTCTGCGACCCAATTCTGCGACCCAGATAATCAGCATCCGATGGAACAGTTTCCCAATCTTCGGTTCTCGTCAGCTGCTTGCGGCGAGCTGCACTTCATCGCGATCGCCGGCGATACACCAGAAGCCTCGAGCCACCGTTTGTTTGCGTGGGGCCACTATCGCCTGACGCGAGACGATCTTGATGCGGGTGCCCCTCCTACCTCGATTGCGAATGGCTTGGCTTGCCGTGCGCCGTGCGGCGGCTTACCGTCTCGTGGCCCAGTGGACATGGAGCCGAGGCGTGTCCAGTATACCATGGGCGATCGGATGCCCGATATCGCCGTCACGCGTACGGGCCGGAGTGCGGTGGTGCACGCCGGCGCGCTCCGCATCTTCGGAGCGAGCCGCTTCGGGCTCGGGGACGACGCCGGCCATGATGACGACGAGACAGTCTGGATTGAGGACTCTTCCCCGAGAATCGTGGCTATGCCGGGGTTGGGGAGAGTGACATCGATCAGCCTCGGGGACGAGCACGCGCTCATTTCGGACGACGGTGGGCGGCTGTTCTCGTTCGGTGATGGCGGAGACGGCCGACTTGGGCTGGGCCAGCCGTTGCGTACAGTCAGAACTCTTGCGCAAGTCACCGCGCTGGCAGGTAAGCGCGTGGCTGGTGTGGCTGCGGGCCACGCCCATTCGTTGGTCTTCCTCGATGACGGCAGCCTGTGGGCGTTCGGATCGAACTCACGCGGTCAGCTTGGGCAACCTGCAGCTGGGGATTGGGCTGCGACTCCGGTGCGTGTCGACGGCGCGCTGGCGGTGACTCAGGTTGCCGCTGGACTGAATCTGAGTGCAGCTCTGACATCGGCGGGCAGTTTGCTCACCTTTGGGCAAGGCAACGAGCACGGGCTCGGAACCGACGAACGCATCGATTGTGACACGCCAACGATTGTGCTGCCAGAGCGACGCATCGTATCAGTTGCGGTTGGCGTGGGTTACATGGTCGCCATCGACGACGAAGGGAGGGCCTTTTCCTGGGGATACAATTCGCACAACCAGTGCGGGCGGGGACACGATGAGGAGGACGCGGACGAGATGGACGACGAGTTTTGTCCTGACGGTTGCGTTCGCGTCGGTCAGGTGCACCTCCCCGGCCCGGTGCGATTTGTCTCTGCGTGCTGGGCGACGTTCTACGTGCTGGGCCTGCAGCGCAGGCAGTGATTTGAGTCTTGATTGAGCGTGTGTGTACAGCCAAGAGCGAGTGCAAAACGCTTTATCCAATATAACCTCGTCCGATAGCCGATACGCGATAGGGTGTCCATACGCGCGCAGATCGGATTCACTCGTACGAGCGCTGCTCAAGGCAGTAGAACCGAAGTGTACCCGGTAGTCCACCGGTCGACCGGTGGGTCCCTCTTCCCTGTATACCCTCTGCATAGATGTCTCGCAATGCTGCTATTTTCGGTGTTCAGTCATTCCAAGGATGCGGTGTGGGCGGCCACGCCTCGTGCAGCTGATCCTGCTCGTCGCCGTGGCCCAGCTTGCCACCGACCACCGTCTCCATCGCCCCAGCTCCAGACGCTGCCGTCGGCGGTGATGGCGATGCTGTGGTTGACTCCCGCCAACACAGCGACGACGCGCAGGCCAGCAAAGGCCTCTCGGGAGCAGCTGGCGCTGTGAGGAAAAGAAAACGTCCGGTGCGCGAAAAAGAATTTAAACAAAACAACTCTCTCTCACAGCAGACAGGCTCGACACAGGTGCGAACTGGCGCGTGCTAGTACTATCACCGGCAGAGAGAGAGAGAATTCTTGATACGAAACCACGACGACACACACCAGTCGACTCGCATCGGTTGCCTCCATGAACGGCGGAGCTATTCTCGCGTCCACACCACACCTGGCTCCAACGTGGACACGCCCATAGCTGGGGACACTACTAGGTCACGCATGGCATCAGAAGTTTTATCTCTGGGCCCCGAAAGGCATCTCTAGCAGCGTCGTTACGCATGCGCCCTCCCCTCCTGGGCGCATACGCCTCACGTCTCGACAGAGCATAAGCCCTTGGTGTGCCACGAGACGAGTTTTTCGCCATCGCCGCGAGCAGCAAGCCGCCCGCCGCAAACAGCCGGAGGCATCGCCGCAGCACTGTCTGCGCTGCGCTCCCGCACCCGTCGACGAAGCTCCCCCCGCGGAAGACCGCGCGTAGCTCTCTCTCTCTCTCTCTATCACCGGCACACGCGAAAAAGAAATTGTACGCAAAGCACCGCGGCGCGACTCACCAGCTCTGCCCGACTGCACGATGACCACCCTTCTTTTCGCCTCCCTCACCCCTGCGGCGTTCTACGCGTCCGCTCCCCGCGGCGTGCGCACCGTACTCGGCGGCGGGCGCGCACGCTCCGCCGTGCCGTTGGCGGTTGAGGGCGGCGGCGGCGAGCCGGCGACGGCCGAGAGCAAGAAGACGAAAGCCGAGCGGCTCGCGATCGCGGCGGAGCGCGCCTCACTGGAGGCCGAGCGGCTCTCCCTCCTCGCCGAGCAGATGAAGCTCGCGACTGCGCTCAAGCGTGGCGACACCCTCGAGGATGCTCCGCCGCTCGCGCCGCCGCCATCGCCTTTGCCGCCAGCGCCGTCCCCAGCGGCGTCGCCGAGCGACGCATCGAAGGCGTCCGACGGGGCCGCGGGCGAGGGCGCGCCGTCCGGCGGCTGGTGGCCGTTTGGAGGTGGCGCTGGCGAGGAGACGCCCGGCGGCGGAGGCGGAGGCGCCGGTCAGGCGGCGCAGCGGGAGGGGGGCGGGGGCGACGGTGCGCAGGATCAGGAGCCGCCCTCGGGGGCGCTGGAGGGGGCGCTGCGGCGCATGGGCGGCGACGGCGCCCCTCTGCGCGCGGACCAGCTCCAGCTCTCCGACAGTCAGGTCGCGGCGGTGCGGCGGTGCAGTCTCGAGCACCTTTCACAAGGAGTCAGTGGGGATCGGTCGTGAGTCAGGTCGCGGCGGTGCGGCGGTGCGTGCTCGAGCCGTCGGGGGCCTTCTACGTCCTCTCGGTGCAGCAGTCTCCGCTCGGCACAATCTTCCGCGGCAACCTGCGCGCCGAGCCGTCCGCGCTGCTCGAGGCGCTCGACGAGCGCGCGCCGCACGAGGCAGATCTCGAGGGCGTGAGGCTGCTGGTGCTGTCGGACCCGGTCCCGCGGACGGCGCAGCAGCTGCAGGCGGGCGAGGAGGCGGTGCCGGTGGTGCTCGCCCTCTCCCCGGCGGTCCGGCCGCTGCGCGTCTCAGGCGGCTCCTCCCCCGCTGCACACACTGTAGTCGGCCACGTGAGCCTTCCGTGAACCTTCACGGGACTCACAGCCGCTGCTGTGAGAGACGCGGTGTGAAGAGCGCGTGATGGGCTGGTCTCAGGCGGCGAGCTCGGGCTGGCCGCGCTCTCGCTGGGCGCGACCGGGCTCACCACTCTCGGGTACGCTCTCCTCGCCCCCCCCCCCTCTTCCCTTCCTCCAGACACCTCCGAGACACCTCCGAGACACCTCCGAGACTCTTCTAGGACCCCTCCGAGCCACCTCCCAGGTATGCGCTCTCCTCCTTCCTCCTCGCTAACGATGGCCAGCTCCTCGAGGCCCTCGACGCCGAGAGATAGCCGAGAGATGGCCCGGTGAAGCGACGCCCCGGAACCTGCCCGGAACCTTCCCGGAACCTTCCCACAGGCCCTCAACGCGGGCGACACATCGCCGGTTGCAACGGCTCTCCCCATCGCCGCCGGCATCGGCGCGCTGCTCGTACTACATGAGGGCGCTCACGCCGCCGCCGCCGCCGCCCGCGGCGTCCGCATCGCCCCGCCAGTGCCGGTGCCGTCGCTGCAGCTCGGCTGCTTCGGCTGCGTCACTCGCGTCCTTGACTTCCCGCGCAGGTCAGGTCTCCCCAGACCTCCCCAGGCCGCCCCAGGCCTCCCCAGGCCTCCCCAGACCTGACGTGCTTTCTCCGCTCCCCGCGCAGCCGCGCCGCTCTGTACGACGTCGCCGCCTCGGGTCCCTACGTCGCCCTCGCCGCCTCCCTCGCTGTCTTTGTCGTCGGCCTCTCCCTCTCCGCCGGTCTGCCCCCGCCGCCCGCCGCCACCGACGCCGCCGCCGCCGCCGCCGCCGCCTCCGGCATCCCCACCGCGGCACTGGTCGGCGCGACGCCCTACCCGGTTGTGCCGTCCGCGCTGCTGCACTCGTCGCTGCTGCTGGGCTCGCTCGCCGACTGGGTGCTGCCGCCCCTCACGCCCGACTCGCTCGCCGTGCAGCTGCACCCGGCGGCCGTCGTCGGCTTCACCTCCGCGCTCTGCAACGCGCTGCAGCTCCTCCCCGTCGGACGGCTCGACGGCGGCCGGATCGCGGCGGCGGTGCTCGGCTCGGGCGCAGCGAGCCTCACCTCGAGCCTCTTCCTCCTCGGGCTGGGCCTGCAGTCGCTCTTCGGCGGCGACGACCCCGCCCTCCTCTTCTTCGGCCTCCTCATCATCTTCTTCCAGCGCGAGCCAGAGCTGCCCTGCGCCGACGACCTCACCGGCGTCGACACGCCGCGGCAGGCCGCCGCAGCCGCCGCCCTCGCCATCGCACTCCTCATCGTCGCTCCCTCTCCGCTCTTGGGCTAGGGGCGTAAAGTCTCGGGCCCGCGCGCGGACTCGCTCCGATAAGGAGCGCCCGCGGAGAGAGCAGGCGGGAGGAGGCGCACACGGTGAGAGGTTTAGAGGGCACGGGCTCCACCGCGCCGGACAAGAGAGATCCGTCCTAATGCCTTTGGCTCGTGCGGCCAAGATCGGTTTACGTTGAGCGCGGTTTTAGGGGATGTGCAGCTTGCCTCTCGCTTGAGTCGCGCGCGCCGGCCCGCGCTCAAAATGCATCCCTCTTTCTCGCAGCACACCCCAGTAGCAGTAAAAAGACAGTACTCAGTGAGAGCCCAGCCGCGTAGAGCGGTACCGCGGCCCGCGCGGCGGCTGACGGGCGGGGTGGCATTCTGAAGTAGTGTCTCAGAGCTCCGCAGAGTGACCACAAACAAGCTCAGAGGCACAACCACAGAGTCTGATCAGACTTCAGAGTGCACTGCTCCACCGTGCTGGGTATCTCAGTCCACGGCTCTATTTGCGCCTCGTCACGGCAATCCATTTCTCCGTACCACCCGTGCGTGCCACATTGGGCAGCTCGCCATCGAGGTCGATTGCGTGTCTCAGCAACACTTGCTTGTCTACAAAGGACAGGGCCTTGACACTGGTCGCCTTTGCCAGGATTGGCGGCGCCTTGCCAGCTCGCTCAGCCTCCAGCCAACGCGACACACACAGAGCCCAGCGGTCGCCGGGCTCCAACCCCTTGAAACCGCAGAGAAAGCGAACCCAAAAGGGCGGCCTGTAGAGGGGGTTTCCTCGAGATTTGGTGAAGAGCAGAAACTCAAGTGTCAGTTCCGACGCGATGATGTGGCAGCCGCCGTCGCTCGTATGGTAAGAGGCGAAGCCGTCACGCCTCCAACCGGTCACCGGGTCACGACCGCGGCGAGTGCACGGCTGGAGGGGCGTGCCGAGAATATTGAGCTCAGGCATCGGCGAGGCGCACCGACGTTGGCAGGGTCGGGTGTGGGCCGACTAAACCTCCGGTCGGGTGTGGGCCTACATGCTTGGCTGGTAGGTTCACTTGCTCGAGAAGAAAGAATCTTACAACCAAACTCCCTCGCACAACACTGGGCACGGGACTGGCGCGCACTGGCACGAACACAGGTACACCACGGGAGCCGCCTAAGCGACTCCTGCGAGGGTGGCGAGGCACTTAGCTCCGTGCACCCGCCCTCCCCCGCCACAGGCAAGCTCATTCACGACCTGCTCTGCGATGGCCGTGTGAAGAACGACTGAGATGCGCTGCTTCTGCAGCCCCAGCCAGCTCTTGGTGGTCCAAGTCACCTCATCGAGGTACTGGGCCCGCGTCAGCTTGTTCTGTAGCACGTCCGCCGCTCTCCGGAGGATCTCACGGACCCCCTTTCCGAACCCGCCGAACGATTCGAACAGCAGCAGCTGCACTTCGACGCCCTTGTCTTCCCTGGCGTAGCGATAGTCCCCCGCCGTAGGACGGTATGCGGCGGTCGCCGCCCACCACCCTGCCCCCCCTGGTATGCCAGCGCCCAGTCCCTTGCCCCCTCTCGCCCTTGCTCTTCCTCTCCCCCTCCATGCCGCCCCCCTTTTTTCCGAACCCTCCCCCCCCCCCTCCTCCTCTCCCCCCCCCTCTCCCTGGCCCCCACCTCCCTCTCCCTCCTGGGAGTAGGGCCCATGCCCCATGACCATGTTCCGGTAGAATGATTCAGTGTTGCCGAAAGCGACAAAAGCGCCCTTCCGACCGTGCTCCCCGCTGCTGCTGAGGGAACAGACGACCTTGACGTCTCCGCAATAGTGCGTGCCGTGCGAGCCAATGTTGTCCGCGTCCACGTCGGGTTGTTTGTTGTAACTCTGACCGAGGTGGGCTTTCGGCTCCATTCGCACAGCGGTGCCCCACGCGGCGCGTAGGGCGAGGATGAGGCGTCGAAGCGTGTACTTGTGTCTGGTGTTGTGGCCCTGCTGCGGTACGTTGACAGCAGCGTCGCCATACTCGTCGTGGGTCTTCCCATTCCGAGTCTTCTTGCCCGCCGCCGCGGCCTGGCAGGCCACGTCGAGGGGGAGACCCAGGCGGCGCTGCACCGAAAGACGCATCGCCCAAGTCTCCATTCGCATGTCATCCCGCATTGGGATGGCGTTGAGGAAGGCGCCGGCGCCATCCTGGCTCACCGCCGAAGAAGGAATTTAGCCGAGGTAGGCCGCCTATTGAAATCGCCCGAAGCGCTAGCGCTTCGCTAGCGCAAGCTCGCACGGCCTCTCACGCTCCGCTGCTGCCCTCTTGGCGGCTCTCCGCCCGCCAGCTCGACCAACTCGACCGCCGAGAGGCTGGGATTGGCCGGCGGCGCGACGCGTGGCCTCTGCTGCGGCCATCTCGGACGCTCAAGCGGCGCCAGCCAGCGGCTCGGCCGCGCATCCTTCACACACGCCGCCACGACCAAGCTGAGCGGGCCCGGTGTCGAGTCATGGTGCGAGATGCATGTCAGGGGCGGCTGTGGCCACAGCAGGTCCACCAGACGGGCGTCAAAGCTTGCCGTCGGCGTGCTGTCGTGGCGAGAGCCGAGACCGCTGCAGAGGAGCCGAGTGCAGTGGCGAGCCAGAGGCTACCAGGGTCACCAGGTGGTAGCCCTTGCCCATTCTGAGCAGGGATGTGCTTTGATGGGGTTGTGCTTGAGCGTGTGTGAAGTGGGAGTGCGTGCCGGCAGTGTCTGTGGCTGAAACGGGCGTGTGTGAGGCTGCAGAGCCGTGGTATGAGCCAGAGTGAGCTTCATCACCCAAGAAAAAGTGCGGTTTGGGACGGCTCAGACTTGCTGCTGATGGGACTGGGCCAGGTGAGCGACAGAGAAGGCGAGGTGGTGAGCTGGGAAGCCGCTTTGTCGGCACCTGGACGTGTCGCGATGAACTGCCGAAAAGCACCTTTTGCGGCTGTTGCTCGAAACTTCGGGAGACAAGGCCTACATATTATGACTGCATCGATGCGCCTGGTGCATGAGGGCTGCGGGTCGGGACATTTCACGGTCGGTGGCGCCGATAATGACCTCCGGAATGCCCTCGCAATCGCCTCGGATGGGGTCCACCGGAGACAATCTCGAGCCCTCTGCGTGCCATCACGAGCCGGTGTGAGCTTGCAGACCCAAGGTAAGTGCAGTCTGGGACGGCTAAGGCTTGCTACTGATGGGCCTGGGCCAGGAGGGCGACAGAGAAGGCGAGGTGGTGCGCTGGGAGCAGGAAATAGCGCTTTTTGGCAGTTGCATCGCGACACGGTCACACGCGGACGCTCCAGCCTCTCAGCGCACCACCTCGCCTTCTCTGTCGCCCTCCTGGCCCAGGCCCGTCAGTAGCACGCCTGAGCCATCCCAGACCGCACTTACCTTGGGTCTGCAAGCTCACACCGGCTCGTGATGCCACGGAGAGGGCTCGAGATTGTCTCCGGTGGACCCCATCCGAGGCGATTGCGAGGGCTTTACGGAGGCCATCACCGGCGCCACCGACCGTGAAATGTCCCGACCCGCAGCCCTCATGCACCAGGCGCATCGATGCAGTCATAATATGTAGGCCTTGTCTCCCGAAGTTTCGAGCAACAGCCGCAAAAGGTGCTTTTCGGCAGTTCATCGCGACACGTCCAGGTGCCGACAAAGCGGCTTCCCAGCTCACCACCTCGCCTTCTCTGTCGCTCACCTGGCCCAGTCCCATCAGTATCAAGTCTGAGCTGTCCCAAACCGTCCTTACCTTGGGTGATGCAGCCCACTCTGGCTCATACCACGGCTCTTACGGCCTCATACACGCCCGTTTCACCCACAGACACCGCCGGCACACACTCCCACTTCACACATGCTCAAGCACAACCCCACCAAAGCACAGCCCTGCTCAGAATGGGCAAGGGCTACCACTTGGTGACCCAGGTAGCCTCTGGCTCGCCACTGCACTCGGCTCCTCTGCAGCTGTCTCGGGCTCTCCCCATGACAGCACCCCGACGGCAAGCTTTGACGCCCGTCTGGTGGGCCTGCTTTGTCCACAGCCGCCCCTCACATGCAGCTCGCACCAGGGCTCGACACCGGGCTCTCTCATCCCGGTCGTGGCGGCGTGTGTGAAGGATGCGCGGCCGAGCCGCTGCCTGGCGCCGCTTGAACGTCTGAGAGCAGCCTCCAGGAGGCGGAATGGGTCGCGGTGCATGTCGCCATCGGCCTTCGGGGGTGGGTCCGGGGCCAGGCCACTCTCGGCGCCCGAAATACCCGGCGCAGAGCCCGGCATTGGGGCCGCGCGCGGACGAACGCAAACCCTATAGGGTTTGAGGGCGGCCGCCCAAGAGCCGAAATAGGCCTTTAAACAACGCAACTCGGTCTCACAGCAGACAGGCTCGACACAGGTGCGAACTGGCGCGTGCTAGTACTATCACAGGCACACCGAGAAGAAAGAATTTTACATCAAAGCTCCAGAAGAAAGAATTGCAAAAAACTCTGGCACAGCACACAGGTTCGACACAGGTACCAAAGGAGGCACAGCCGGCGACGGACCTTTAGAAGGCGCCGTCGTCCTCAAAAGGTGGGCACGACCGGGGGGACAGTCGAATCCGCGAGCACCGTAGTGCTCGCCGAAAAGACCATCCCCATCATCCCCCCCGGCGACCCCTCGCCGCTTGCCCCGCCAGCGGGCACTGCGCGACCCACCCCCGCGCCCTCGACCGCGCCCCCGCCAGGAGCATACCGCATCACCTTCGCCCGCTCCTCGTCGAAGAGCAGAATCTCTCCCGCCTTCACCGCTTCCTTCCACCCCTCCACGTAGCCGCCTGTGTCGTCCTGCAAACACAAACTGCGAGTCCATAGCACCGGCCCTCCGTCGCAACATTCCGGCACAGCGTCCAAAGCCGCCCTAAACCTAGGGCAGCGCGCCGCGTCCCATGCCGCCTTCTCAGCCGCCTGGATAGCCGCCCACTGGGCAACCGAGTAGTGGGAGGGGCGAGATTGGCGAGCAGTGGGAGGGCCGTCCGGCTCGGCGCCGCGCGCCGCGCCCGAAGCCGCCCCCGCTGCCTCCTCCTCGACCTCCTCGTCGGTTGCCGTGCCCACCGCTTGCTCCTGGGACCTCGCAAAATAAGAATGAGTCCAGACTCCGCCCCCCGCCGCAATGTCGGGCGACTGCGGCGTGGGTTCGTGGCCGGGTGTGGACGGTACGCGGGTACAACCAGGAACAGGCAACGGGCAAAGGCAAGCTGCCCTTCCCCTCCTCCGCCGGCGGCGCGGATTCCGATGTGTCAACAGACACAACGGGTCCACCTCCGCCAGCAACAACTGCGGCCCACGCCTCGCGGGCGCCGCTCTCCGCCTCTGGGGTGCGCGTGCCACTGCACAGCCGTCGCTGCCAGCCACGAGCCACCGCCCCCTCGCCGCCCTCAGCAGCAGCAGCGCTCGTACCAGCGCCGCTGTGAGAGCAGCCAGGCCCCTTCTTGGAGCCTGAAGCAGCTGCGTGCCCACCTGCGGCAGGCCCGGCATCCCGCATCCTCCGGTCGGCGCCGCGTCGAGCCGCCCTCGAGCAGGCGAGCCTCGACGTCCACCATGCCGTCGAGCGCGGACGCGCTAGGAAGCCGCGCCGAAGAAAAGCCTTGGCCGGACCACTTTACAACAAAGTTCTCTCTCACAGGTAAACGAGAAACTCATAACGACGATGCGAAAGCTATGGGAGCGAGGCACTAACTGTGCTCTGCAGAGCACTTCTGCCTTCTCGCCAAACATCCGGCCGCGATCTATTCTTCTAGTTCTATGGAGCGTGGGCCTTAGCGTTCACACTTGCTTTGGCCGCCCCTGCGCACTTTTGAATGCCTGGAAGAGCGCGTTGTCGGATCGGGTTCGCCTCACTGCGTGCCTTCGGGAAGAGGCTGACGACCTAGATCTATTGGACGAGGAGACAACCGACGTCGCGTCGTCGCCACCCGAGGTGAGCTCGCCCGCGATCTTGTCCTCGAGTAGCGTGACGAGAGAGCCAAAGTACTCTTTCGGGAAAACCTCGCTCTTGCTGAAGTTCACCTGCGAGCCAGACGGGGGCGGGGAGCTGTGAGGCGAGGAGTGCCGCGAGCCCGGGCCCGACCGCGCGGAGAGCGGACCAGCTCGTACACACCAACGTCGTCGTTGTTTTCGTGCCTGCTGCGGAGGGCCGAGGCCCACAGGGCCAAGATAATCGGCACGAGTTTGAGCTTGTCGTCCGGCTCCGCAAAGTTGCCCTGGAGCACTCGGATGGAGTCCTCGTACCACTCGACGTGGCCAGCGAGCTCGTTGAGCGTGCCATTGTAGACGAACATCGCCTTCAGCCCGCCGACTGTCAGCCGCGCCCACTGCTCGAGACGACACCAGCCGCGCCGCTGGTACGTGTCCACATCAAAGAGATCGCCCTCATTCTGCAACGTGGGGCAAACAGCCACAAAGTAGCGGCACACGCTTGCGTACAGTGCAATCGTCGCGATCGACTGCGCTTTCATGACGGCGTTGGCCTGTGGGATGCACGCGTAGTCGATCCAGCAGTAGAGATGGTCCGAATCGACGCCCTCCTTGTCACACAGTGCCTCCGCGGCCCGAAGCATCGCGTTCAGATGCCGATCGTTCGGATCGGGCTCGGTCCTGGCGAGCCACTGGTGGCTGAAGAAGACTGTCGGGTGTTGCTCGATGAAGGCGATCACCTGCTCGTACGTGTCGAGCATGCGCAGCAGGCCGCTATTGCGTAGCTCCTCGTGTGCTGGCAGCCTGCCCGCTGATTTGAGCGCGGACAGAGGCAGGAAGCATACACAGAATCCCAGCTTATTGACGTTAGCCAACGCGTTGTCCACCTGCGTCTCGAGCCACGCGCCATATGCCTGGCTATCGGCAACAGCCTGGCGGTAGCGCGCTATGAGCTTGTACGCGATGAAGCCGAGCAATAGCATCAATAGGCCTCCGCCGCAGCCCGCTATGATGGGCACGGGGTCAACCTTGGCCTGAGAGGAGTCGACTTCGCAGGTGTTCAGAAAGCCCTGCCACATCGTCTCAGCCGCGAAGGAGACGAGGGGACGCGTAGGGGACGGCGGCTTGGTCTGGCCAGAAGGACATGCCGTGCAGGTGTCAGTGATGTTCGATTTGAACTCGTTGTCGGGGCAGTCGCATGCGGCCGCACTCGCCGACGCGTCGGCGCAGCCAGTGACGCCTGAGCAGGTAAGGTAAGGTAAGGTAAACTTCTCCACACACACAGGTGGTGGGGCAAGGGGGGGCGACCCTCGCGTCTCCACGTCTAGACGACAGGAGCCCCACGGCATTACAAGTGCAAGGCCCAGTGCGCCTGAGCATGTCGCAGGCGTGACCACCAGCCCCGGGATCGTGCAGGTCGCAGGGCAGGCGGTGCACTCGGCAAGGCCGTCGGTTCCGATGATGCCGTATGTTCCCGGTGAGCATGCGACACACGCGCTCCCGTTGAAGCTCTGCCCGAGCCGGCAGCACGCAGCAGAGCCCGCGTCGGCGCCCGTGCCTTCGTCGCAGCTGGTGGCTGCAAAGAAGACCTGCACTCTGTTCTCGCTCTTGGTCACAGCTATGAGGTCCTCGTCGCCGTCGCCGTCCAGGTCACCCGTGCTCACATAGTGGCCCTGCGCTCCGACGTACAGCGTGTGGTTCTGCCATGTCGTGCCGTTGCCGTCGAGGTTCTCGTACCACCTGATGCAGGGGATAAAAATGAACTCGGGGGCACAGGACGCGGCACCAAACACGGGGAGGCACGTAGTGACGCAAGGGGGTCTACACCTGATGATGCCATCAAAGTACGAGGCGGACGCCACATCCATGTCGCCGTCGCGGTCAAAATCGAAGGCAGTCACTGAGAGAACGAAGTCGGCCTCAGCGTAAATGATCGTCTTTGTGAAGACCCCCGCGCCTTCGTTACGCCACAACGCCACAGTGTCGTCACCATTGGACGCGACAAACAAGTCCATGTCTCCATCAGCATCGATGTCGCGCGCCACCAGGCTGTACGCGCCAAACGATGTGTTGGAGATAACGACCTTCTCAGGAAAGCTGGCGGCACCGTCGTTGGGGTACCACGCGACCGTGTTGTCGTCTTTCGAGGCGGACACGAGGTCGTTGTCGCCATCCCCGTCAAGGTCGACTGCAATAACTGTGCGCACGCCAACAGCGTTGTCATCGACGATGCGCTTTATCTCGCAGAAGGAGCCGTCGACTCCGATGTTGAGATAAACTGCTACAGTGTTGTCGCCGGACGAGGCCGAGATGACGTCGAGATCGCCATCTCCATCAAGGTCGGCGAGCTCCACGCCCTGCGCGTTCACGGCGCTGGTGGTGATGAGGTGAGTCTCGGTAAACACGCCGGTCCCGTCGTTCTCGATCCATCTGACTGCGTCATCGTAGTACGACGCAACCACCACATCTACATCCCCATCACCGTCCACATCTCCCGTGTCCACGATGCGAGCGCCGTTGGACGAGTACGTGATGTCGTTTTTGCCCGACCACGCGTCACCTCCGAGGTTCTTGTACCACGCGACGGTGTTGTCCGTCGAAGAGGCCGAGACGATGTCAAGCAAGCCGTCGCCGTCCAGATCGGCTGCTTGTGCGCACCTCGCACCCTTGGCTTCGTTGGTGACAATGGTGCGCCGCGTGAAGACTGGGTCAGCGACAATCAGGGCAGCGTCGGGCGTACACACGCCCTGGGCTCGTCTGAGAAAGAGAGCGAGCACGAGCGCGCGGAGGAGGGTCCGCATCACGTCCGCGCTTGACGGCTCCGGTGAACGCTAAACTGAGCTCTGCGGCGCGGCGTGAAAGTAGGCGGCGCGCTGCGGGGTGCTGCGTGCGCCGTGTATTGGTCCAACCGACACCGGTATATTTCTTTTTAAAATTCTTTTTTATATGGCGCGCATCGCTCTCGGGTTGTTAAAATGAACTCTCGGGCCCGCAGACTTCACGCACACCCGCACAAACAAAATGTTTGGTATTGCTAAAAATCTCTCACACCCGCCGCCCCCGCGCGCGCCCCACCGCGGCCGGCAGAAAAGCGGTTGTTATTTCTTTTAAACTGGAATTCTTTTCAAAATTCTTTTTGCGCAGCGGCGCCGCCAGGCGCCCGCCCCGGCGGTGAGCGACGCGTAGCGAGCGAATCGCCGGGGCGGGCGCCTGGCGGCTCCGCGGAGCTCCTTTGGCTCGGCGCGGGCGGGAGTGCGAGTGAGAGCTCGGGGCCCGTGAGCCGGACTTGTGAGCCGGACCACCCCCGTTCTTAACCTGCGTTGTTGAGCCAGGACTCAACATACCCGGGCTTTCCATCCCGCACTTTCACTCCCCTTTCTCCCGGCCGGGGTGGGGCGCGCGCGGGTGGCGGCGGGTGTGCGGCGGGTGTGCGGGATGTCTGTGGGCCCGAGAGCGATATGCCATGTCCGCCTTGCGTTTGTTTCATAACATCGAAGGCTAAGCTCAAAGAAATTTAGTGCGCGTTCCCTATCCTCGCCTGCGGTATGGGAAGAGGCACGAGGAGGGCGGCGACTTCGACCGACTATGGAGGACCCGTCGCCAGACGACGCAGGGCAGAAGACGGTGAGGCGGAGCAGACGCGCAGGGCGAGACGAGGGAGGGAGCAGGACTTTGCGGAGATCAGCAGGAGGATGTACGAAGAGATTAGGAGCAGCAGGGACCCGAGGGACCATGTGGAAGACGGCTAGTGCTAGTCCCCCATCGGGAGGACGACCCCGGCTAGTCGCCGACCACACCCACAAAGAACCCTGCACAAAGATCGCAAGGGCGGGGGCCTGTTCCTTTTTACCCATCTCACAGTAGAGAGGTGTCCGTTTTTATTTATTTATTTATTTTTTCGCCTGCGGTAGGTAGGTAGAAAGGTGAAGAACAGCCAGGCTCGGACTGGACACCAACGCGGTATGGGTGGACGCGAGACAGATGATGACGACACGCACGAGCGACACACAGACACAAACAAGCTCACAAGACACACAGCCAGCTGGCTGCCACACACCCTGAGTTGGCGTACACATAACTCAGTCAGGGCCACATTCTTCCTGTCGCCCCCCCCAGCACTCCAGGGTGCCAAGAGAAACAAACAAGGGCACAACATCACAACAGACGACAGGAGTAACATGCGAGGCTAGAGCAGCTTGCTCCACCTCTAGCAATCTCGCCGGCCGGCGAGGCACGGACAAGACCGTGTGTGGGGTCTAGTGAGGTGTCTATGGACGCCCTCCTCAGAGGCTAGCTGCCTACTGCTAGCCCTATCTCGCACTCACGGGCAGTGACAATTCAATGGGTGAGTGTTTGCGAGCAGAGGCGCGTGGGCTAAATCTAGGCCGCACGTCGTGGCACTATGACGAAGTTAGACGTGCGGCCGCAGCGCGCCCGCCCCAGGCTCGGCGGTGCGCGCGTGTTAGCGAGAAAGTTGCGGGGAGAGCCATGCCCGACTTTTTGAAGGTGAGGCCTCTGCGACGAGTGCCGGCCGCGCTGCGGAGCCACACCCTTCGAGCCGCGTCCCGTCGGCACTGCCCCTGAGTGTGTCCCGCCTTGGCGGCACACACTCTCGACGAGGACAGTCCGGCCTACGGGAACGTGTCGCGCGCCGGCGACGGTTGCGGCATGGTGGTTTCGAGTACGACCCCCCCCCCCCCTCCCCGTCGCAAAAGAAAAAGCGAAAACCAGCCGATCGCGTGAACGGCGTCGAATGAAGCCCGCGGGTTCCTCTACTCGTCTTCGAGCGAGTCTACACCAGCAGTCAACGCAGGACTGTAAGCGGCAGAGGCGCAAGTGGTGTTCTGCCTGCTGGAGCGGCCGCGCCTCGACCCGCGTGCGTGCAACTCTCGCATCCGCGTCGGTATGCCTGTCGTCCTGCTCTTCGTCATCGCCGCTTCCTTTGTCTACGGATGGACGGTTCTCGTGCCACTCGGCACCGCACCATGCTGTGAGTCTTGGTGGTTGATGCAGATTATGCTCCGCGTCAACAAGGTGGTGGGCCAGGCGGCCGGCGTCAGCGCAATCCTATTGAGCATCTGGATAGGCCTTGCCGATCCTGGCTGGGTGCGCCGCTAGGATGCTGCAAAGGCAGATGCTGAAGCGTGGGGCCGGTGCAGCGTGCCTCAGTGCGGCGTGCTCCGGCCGCTCGGCTCGCATCATTGCAGCGAATGCGGTCAGTGCTGTGCCGGTTTTGACCACCACTGCGGTTGGCTTGGCGTGTGCATCGGCCAACGAACTCGCCTCCCGTTTATACTGCTACTTGGGTGCGGTGGTGTCGCGTGGACGCTGTTGGGCGCCGCGTCGGTGCAAGCAGCGTATGTGACCTTCGATCGGCAGGTGGCTGGCTGGTGGGTTGTGCGGCACGGCATCGAGGCGTACTTCTTCTCCCAGGCGGGGTCGTTCCTGCTTGGTTTTTGCCTCTTGCAGAGCTACCTCCTCCGCACCGGCCGGGCGTGGCACGCGTGGTTCGCTCGGAACGAATCGCCCAGACAGGCACGCGTCGTCCCGAAGGGGAGATCCGCCGCCGCCGGCTGTAGCCCCGAATCGGCATCGGACGAAGAGTCGCCTCCCGACCAGGCGCTGCTGCGCCGGAGCACGGCGCGACGGGATAGGGAACTCTGATCATCTTCCCATAAACGAGGGAGGGGGGCCTGGTTGGTCTGCATGTAGAGTTGGCTTAGCGCTTAGTCTTAGCATTAGGATTATTGTGCCATCGATACTATTATCTCTGGTCTCCGTCCGTCGTGTGTCATATATGTACGGCTCTAGATTGAAGTGACTAGTTGTGCACAAATACGCTAATTACGGGTGGTGTCAACATGACCACTTTTGATGTTTTTTTGTCCGTGTTGCTTCCAGCGCCCTCGCCCGCGCTCCCTGAGGCCATGGCTGGTGCTACTAGTATGGGGGACTACCTGGCTACCGCGAGAGAGACCCAACTCGTCGACGTCGTCCGATGATGGTGCCTCAGGAGAGTGAGAATCAGAAGAAACGGACACGAATCCCTCTCGAGCCTCCGCATACAGAATCCTGTCTTGGGTGGCAGAATCGCTAGTGCAGAATCCTCAGGCGTGGACAGGGTTCTCCAAGACTGTGCCGAAGGCGAACTTGTCTCCAACGGAGCCGGGGTTGCCTCCGGTGTCGGCGCGGCCGACCCCAACGGGCAAGCCACCCCGGAGGGGGGTCCAAAGTTTGATCTCACTGATCTCGTCTCTTTGTGTACGAAAGAGAGGGAGAACATGAATGAAAACGAGAAGGCGGAAATGAAAACGGGAGAAGGCGGAAATGAAATTGGAGAAAATGGGTGAGTGAGCTTTTTTTGCAAACGAACGAGCGAGACCACCTGACCCGCCAAAAACGACCGGACACTTATTAATTACGCCTCCACAGCAAATCGGTTTTTGCCCTTAAATAGTGCTGTTTTCGTTGGGCCGATTTTCGTTGGGCCATCGATCACCACAAAACTTTCAACTTTCGCGCGTCCACCATATGGTGCCTACCGCCTCTGGCTACCCCAACTGGCTACGGGACGGCGACCTTCGAGCTAAGTCCGAGAAGGCCGCGGGTGACCGCGAGCCTGTGCAGGCGGCGGAGCGCTCGTTCCTCGAGCGCACCGCGTCGCGGAAGGAGAAGCCGACGGAGGAGCAGAAGGAAGCTCGGGCCGCGGCTCGCAGGGCCAAAAAGGCCCGGCAGAAGAAGAACAAGGCGGAGAAGGCTGCGGCGGCGGCGGCGAGCAAGGCCGAGCGTGCGGACTACCCGCACGCGCAGCTACGCGAGAACGTCGAGTTCGTGATGGAGGGCCTGGAGGCTGCGGCGCAGGCGGCGCGCAACCCCAGCGGGTCCAATATTCAGGTCGCCTACTCGCTCCCTCCCGAGGGGGGCAGCGGGTTCGGCGACCTGGTGTACGCCACGGTCCCTCTGGGCTCCGTGGCGACGAAGGTCGCCCGGGACTGGCTCGCAAACGAGCTCTACGAGCCGTCCCGGCGCGGCAAAATCGATGCGGCCTGCAGGGACCGAAAGGTCGCCGACCTGATCACGGCTGCCGGCGCCTCGGCGCCGGCCGACGCCGTGTTCGGCGGCAGGTTCGCGACGGGCGAGGCGCCCCGCCCGACGACCCCCGCCTCCGAGGCGGACGAGGGCGACGGCGTCGGCGGCGATGGCGGGACTTGACCTTTTCGGGCCGGACCCCACCCCCATGGAGGACCTCTGAGGTCCTCCCCAGTCTCACCCCACCTTACCTCTTCCCCCCCCTCCCCCCATCCCTGCCTCTGCCTCCCATAGGGCAGGATAGCACTAGCATATGTAGTGCTTGAGAAGACACCACAAACGCGGCACGGCCCGTTTTGGCTGTCTGCGGAGATTTTGTCTTAGCACACACAGTGAGTCATTCGGAGTCATTCGATGGCCAGAGTGCGATTGTGTGTGTGCGGGAGTTGGTTTGTCGGGAGGGAGGGGCAGGCTGCTCACCCACGTGCACCGGGCCAGTGCTTGCACTTTGAATGCCGTGGGGCTCCTGCCCGTGTCCGGGTGTGGAGATGCGAGGGTCGCCCCCCCTTGCCCCACCACTTGTGTGTGTGGAGAAATTTACCTTACCTTACCTTAGAACGTCAGATCTGCCTCACCCTGGGCTGGACCTAGTCAGCCCGGCCACCACGTACTCGACGGTCGACGCCGGAGGTACGCGATTCATAGCCGATACCCCGGAGAGAGGGAAGACCGCGCCCGCACAGCCGCCATTCTCTAGCACTTTTGAGTACTCCTTTTATATTACAATATCACACACACATGCTTGAATGCAGAGAATGCAGTGTGCATCTGCATGGATGGGTGCATCATCCATCAACGAAGTCACACGGCCTCGCGCTCACCGGCCAGCCACATCCCAGCCATGTGACTCACGGCTTGTAGGATGAGGAACCGACTGGCATGCGGAGCGAGACTGAAGGCTTGGCTCTTGGCCGAGAGGTTTACCTTCTCCCCGGTCCACACGTCCGTTCCTGTGACCGTGCTCCCGAACCGCGGGTCCGCGTCCGAGTATGTTAGCGTCACATTGCGAGGCTGCTCGCTCAGATTAATGAGCAGAACAGCTCCCGTCGCTCTGTCCCCGATGGCGGGAAGCCTTTTGTGCCACACCTGCCAGACGGGAAAGGTAGTGACTGTGGTCGTCCCGGCGTGCGTCGTAAAGGTGTCCTCCGCGCTTGCAGCCAGCCCCCCTTCGTGTCCCGCCCACTCCTGGTTGACTTTTAGCGCCAGAGGGCTTGTCACAATCGGATAGACCTCATTGTAAACGGTGTCATTGGTCAAGTCGCAACCGAGAATGAGCGGTGCACTCGTGATGCACCTATGTCCAGAGGCAGAGGGACAAGCGATGAGTCGGGCATCTCGGCGGCGCGGCGGCGAGGGCGGCGGCACCAGGCAGCAAAGTGGGTGAACGACTCGACCAAGCTGATCTCATGGCCGACCTGAAGCATGTCTGGATACGCCCAGCATCCCGGGCGGGACACCGGCCCGTCTGCTGTCTCGTGCTCCTTCACGAAGGCCGCACTCGTCATCAGGTTGCCCATTATCGAGTAGAAACTGGCAAGGATATCGGTGGTCGTCCTGTAGAAGTTGCTCGGGCAGTCGCGGAGGAGCTGGACGGTCGGTGTGGGCGGCTCCTTGCCCGGTACCCACCAGTGCTTATCGAGGCAGTCCTCGATGAGGAGAGGCCGGCCGCTGGCGTTGAGGAGCTCACCCCAGAGCGTCATGTTGTTCGCTGGACCGCAGCCGTCAATCTTTACGCCGTCGAAGCCAAGGTCCAGCACCGTCGCCGCGTCTTTGGCGGTGTTGCCTGTCGGCCACACCTTCCACTCGACGCTGCACCAGCAGGGGTTGAAATAGAATCCGGTCTTCAGGCCCATGCCGTGAAGCGCGGTGAGGTTCGGGAACTTGTCGGAATCGACGATGGGCCACCCATCAGCTGAATGGAACGACCCATTCAGACCCCGTCCGCACCCTTCCCATCCCATGTCAACGCCAAGGTGATCGTACCCAACATCGCGGAGGCTTGGCCGCCCGCCGCGGCGAGCCGTCACCGCTGCCGCCTGCTGCAGCATGTCCTGCTGCGTAAACCTCATGCCGTAGTAGTTCCAAGACCTCCAGCCGAGCGGAGGGGTGATGGCCAGGCCATTGTCGGCGCAGAGGCCAAGTGGTATACTGATGAGCAGAATGACAGCTGGTGATCGCTGCCACGCGCCTCGCCGTCGACTCGCACGCGAGTCAAAGCACCCGAGGCACGTCAACATCCAGCAGATCTCGCGCTGAGCTGTCGGCACACACATCGGGCAAACAGCGCAGCGCAGTTGGCCAGCAGCGCACGTCAGCAAACAGCGCAGCGCAGCCGGCAAGCGGCACAGGTCAGCCAGCAGCCGAGAGGGGCCGCCTCCGTAGACTGAATTCTTTTTCTGGGCAGAGGTTCTCGAGGTTCTCAAGGTGGATATCCTTTGGCCGCGTTGGGTAGCGAAGATTGGTGTAACCCGAGCCACGGAGGCGTGTTTTCTGGCGGCCGACCGTCAGTGCACGGAGTTGCCACTTCTCCGACTGCCCCGGCTAGTTCCCGAGGTCGTCGGGTGTGACCCCTTCGTCCCCCGAGACCTAGCGCGGGTGGGTTGGAGGGGGCTCGCCCCGTTCCTCCCCATCGGGCCGCGAAGGGAGGGGAGTGTGAGTGAGTGTGTGTGTGTGGGCTGCTCCGAGGGGGCCATCTCGACAGCGAGGCCCATGATGGCGACGGCGGTGGCGTAGGCGAGACGGCGGCGTCGTGGCGACGGTCCACGATGAAGGTGGCTATGACGAAATGGATGACGCCATCGCGCAACATGACATCCTCGCTATCGTCGTCCTCTAGGCGGCGCGCAGCGCCGCTCTCGGAAGCTGATTTTTTGACGGTTTCTACACTTTGTTTTTGTTTTCAGTCTAGGGGGGCCGACCAGGCTCGCAGCGCGGTGCGCGGTGGACTCCCACATCCACTGGCGGTCTCATCTCAGTCTAGCGACTGCCTCCAGCTTGTCGCTGGCAGCCTCTCGCTACCACAGGCACACTGACACAGGGGTGGCAGGGGCGGCGGCACGAGTCTCCCACATACTATGCGGGCCTCACTAGAGGTGCGGCCTCTGCGTGTCCTCGCCCTTGAGGGGGGAGGGGAAGGGGCTGTGTGTCTGTGCATGCATGTGTGTGTGTGTGTGTGTGTGTGTGTGTGTGTGTGTGTGTGTGTGTGTGTGTGTGTGTGTGTGCGTGCGTGCGTGCGTGTGGAGCCGCCCTGAACGCCACCCAAAAGCGGAGGTACATTAGGAGCCGCAGCCGGCCTGCTCTATCAGCCCCGCAGCCGCGGTGGCGCGACCGGACCGCGGTCGCTCCAGGCGCCTTTTGGCCCCGGTTCGAATCGCGGTTGGCGCGCGCCCTCGCGGAGCGACGCGTGGCGCGCGACGCGCGCGCGTGCGCGTGCGCGCCCAGCCGAGCCGTAGGCCGTCTGCCGTCTGCCGTCTGCCGTCTGCCGTCTGCCGTCTGCCGTCTGCCGTCTGCCGTCTGCCGTCGGCCGTCTGCCGTCGGCCGTCGGCCGCCGCCGCCGCCGTAGCGGCGGCGAGCGCTCGCCTTTTGCGCGACGCGCAGTGTGGACGCGCGCCGCCCAGCGCCGGACGTGCCGGAGCCGGTCCGGCGCGCGCGCGGGCGGCCAGCGCCTGTAAACAGACAGCTGCCGCCCACACGTGAGAGAGAGTTGTCCGTTAAAATTCTTCACGTCACGCCGAGTCGAAATCTGAACGCACGCACGCCGCACCAGCGTCTCGAGCGAGCGCCGCGGCTCTGCTGTGTCGCGCATGGCGTCGCTGCAGGCCTGGCTCCCGCGCAGCGGCGCTTGCAGGCTCGGAAAGGGGAAGGGCGACTTCGTTCGAGACTCGGCCCCGTCGTACCAGGCGTGCCAGCAGCGCTGCGCCGATCTGCCGTCGTGCGCTGCCTTTGAGTGGCAAGCGCTCGGGCGCCTCAAGGTCTGCGAGACGCACGTCGCCCGACCCACGCACACGGCACCTGTTGGCGGCTCGACATGCTCAATGAAGGTCACCATGGGCAGCCCCGCCTTGTCCTCTGCCACTGCCGCCGTCGCCGCGTTGGCACCGCCTCCGCTGCCAGGCTTGCCACCGCCACCGCTGCCGGGCTTGCCGCCGCCGCCTCCGCCAGGCTTGTTGTCGCCGCCTCCACCAGGCTTTCCCACATCGCCTCCACCTCCGCCGCCGCTGCCAGTGCCGTCGCCGCCGCCTCCACCTCCGCCGCCGCCGCCAGTGCCGTCGCCGCCGCCGCCGCCGCCGCCCCGATCCGCGGCCTCACTCACACCGCAAGCGATAGCCGACCGGCTGAGTGCGCGCTTCCAAGGCGGAAGACCTAGCCCAATCCTCAGCGTGGCTGCTCGGATCCGACGGATTAACGAACGCTTTCGCTGGGGCATGCCTTCGAATGACCTTGGCAGCGCTGGGTTACTCGTCCACCAGTTCGACTACACCTCACTGCAGCTCGGCTCGCAGCCGTGGGAGCTGTGCACCGCGTGCGAGGGTGCCGTCGCAACGCTCTCCGGAGGGAAGCGACGACCTGCGGACCGCACCTCGGCCTCTCTCATTTCGTTTGCTCAGCCGTTCCTCTTCTCCTCGCGGCGGGCGGGCTTCATCCTCGACCCTGCGCGCGTACGAGTGCTATGCTCATACGCGAGGGACGGGGAAACGGACGAGAAGTGGTGCACTGCAGCCAGGGGCGGATCTGGCTGCATACCTGGGTGCCAGAAGGAAGGGCACTCCGGCCCGCCGGCGTGGTGCCAAAACTTTGACTGTTGGGGGCCTTGGCACCCCACTCAACTGCAAGCGATGCTTGAGGTGCAACTGCAGCGCGGGCCTCAACTTGCACTCACCGCGGATTCCGATTGGTGCTGGCATTCCCGCGGGCGAGGCGAGCCTGAGCATAACTGCCGGTATAATGAGGTGGTGCTTGACCCAAGCAGCTGGAACGCAAACTTGCCGGGCACAGTCGAGGCCATCTTCTATGTGGGAGGTGCGCAGGCGAGTGCGCTCGGAGAACAGAAGGCTCGCGAGGTGCATTCGCAGTTTGTACAGCAGTTCGGCCTGAGTCGGCAAGATGTGCCGCTTCTACGATACGAAGCAGGCGCTTCTGCTGGAAACGCCTTCCTCCAGGCCTTCCAGCTGTGATGTTGTGCGCCGATCGGATCAAACATACGTCCAGCAGACGCCGGGATCGGGAACGCGCTGGCAACGGCGGCCGCAGCGCCTCCGATCGCCACATCCCGGCGCGTCGCCGGGATATTGAACGCCAGGTAAGACGAGAGAAGGGCAAGCGACATTAGCGGTAGGGGGGCAGGGCACCACGGGTTCCGGCTCCTTGCAGCCTAGGGTATCATGCTTGGCTGTTCTCCGGGGTAGTTTTGACCGCGCACGATAAAGGGTGGCTAAGGGCTCTGCCCGCAAGGCGCCCGCGTCGCCGACGCGGTACCATTGACTAATCCCAGAATACACACCCACACGACCAAATAGCGAAAATCCGAAATACCGTGCAAAAAAACCACGGGATCTCGACAGAAGAACGTCGGCAAGTTTGGCTAACTCCATAACATGGGCGATCCGGCGCTTCCTTCGATTGGACGGACGAAATGATCGGGAAAACGTGTGTCGCGCGCCTTGCGGGGGGGGGCGCGGAAAAGAGGAGAACCTCTTAGCGCCATCGCCACGGCGCACGGTGCTGCAAGCAGCGCCGGGCGACGACGGCTTACCGCCTCCCGGTCAATAGTACAGCCCAATGGTCCCTTGCAAGCGGTCCTTTGTTGCAGTCGCACACACGCACACGCCGCGCCGCACCGCGCGCCCGCCCGCCGCCCCGCCCAGGGCGCGGGCGAAGGAGGAGGAGCCAGAGCCCGGGGAGGATTGGGAGGGGGAGGAGCGGCCGGAGGAGTACGCCGGCCTCTTTGACGACCCGTAAGGGGCCGTCGCCTGCTGTGCCATCTGTAGTGCCAGTCCGAGCCAGTCTGCTGTGAGAGGGGCTTGTATAGTAAAATTCTTCACGTCAAATCTGAACGCACGCACGCCGCCCCGCACCAGCGTCTCGAGCGAGCGCCGCGGCTCTGCTGTGTCGCGCATGGCGTCGCTGCAGGCCTGGCTCCCGCGCAGCGGCGCTTGCAGGCTCGGAAAGGGGAAGGGCGACTTCGTTCGAGACTCGGCCCCGTCGTACCAGGCGTGCCAGCAGCGCTGCGCCGATCTGCCGTCGTGCGCTGCCTTTGAGTGGCAAGCGCTCGGGCGCCTCAAGGTCTGCGAGACGCACGTCGCCCGACCCACGCACACGGCACCTGTTGGCGGCTCGACATGCTCAATGAAGGTCACCATGGGCAGCCCCGCCTTGTCCTCTGCCACCGCCGCCGTCGCCGCGTTGGCACCGCCTCCGCTGCCAGGCTTGCCACCGCCACCGCTGCTGGGCTTGCCGCCGCCGCCTCCGCCAGGCTTGTCGTCGCCGCCTCCACCAGGCTTTCCCACATCGCCTCCACCTCCGCCGCCGCTGCCAGTGCCGTCGCCGCCGCCTCCACCTCCGCCGCCGCCGCCAGTGCCGTCGCCGCCGCCGCCGCCGCCGCCCCGATCCGCGGCCTCACTCACACCGCAAGCGATAGCCGACCGGCTGAGTGCGCGCTTCCAAGGCGGAAGACCTAGCAACAACCTCAGCGTGGCAGGAGTACTCACGCACCAGGTGGACGATGCGAAAGCAGCGCCGGGCGAGGCAGGCTGGGTGCCAGAGTGGGCGGCTTGCACCGTCGGCACGGCGTGTGCCGAGTTCGGTGTCAAGATGTCTGCGTCGCTCTCCAACGCGCGGCTCCCGTACATCTACTCGCGGTCACAGCCGGGCTTCGTGGTGAGGCCCTCTGAGGCCGTGCTGCTCTGTGCGTGGGAGCGCGACGGGAAGACGAGCCATCGGGTCTGCGGGGCGACGAGCGCGCCCGGTTGCGTGCCGGGCTGCGTGCAGACGAGCGGCCCCGCCTGGGCGCGAGGCGCAGCCACGACTTGGTGCACGCTGCCCGACACTTGCCCGGACGCTGCGGCGTGCGCGCCCTACTCGTGGTGCCCTTTCAGGCCCCAGAACCTTCGGCAGATGCTCGAGCGGC